CTCTCACACACCACCACACCCTCTCACACACCACCACACCCTCTCACACACCACCACACCCTCTCACACACCACCACACCCTCTCACACACCACCACACCCTCTCACACACCACCACACCCTCTCACACACCACCACACCCTCTCACACACCACCACACCCTCTCACACACCACCACACCCTCTCACACACCACCACACCCTCTCACACACCACCACACCCTCTCACACACCACCACACCCTCTCACACACCACCACACCCTCTCACACACCACCACACCCTCTCACACACCACCACACCCTCTCACACACCACCACACCCTCTCACACACCACCACACCCTCTCACACACCACCACACCCTCTCACACACCACCACACCCTCTCACACACCACCACACCCTCTCACACACCACCACACCCTCTCACACACCACCACACCCTCTCACACACCACCACACCCTCTCACACACCACCACACCCTCTCACACACCACCACACCCTCTCACACACCACCACACCCTCTCACACACCACCACACCCTCTCACACACCACCACACCCTCTCACACACCACCACACCCTCTCACACACCACCACACCCTCTCACACACCACCACACCCTCTCACACACCACCACACCCTCTCACACACCACCACACCCTCTCACACACCACCACACCCTCTCACACACCACCACACCCTCTCACACACCACCACACCCTCTCACACACCACCACACCCTCTCACACACCACCACACCCTCTCACACACCACCACACCCTCTCACACACCACCACACCCTCTCACACACCACCACACCCTCTCACACACCACCACACCCTCTCACACACCACCACACCCTCTCACACACCACCACACCCTCTCACACACCACCACACCCTCTCACACACCACCACACCCTCTCACACACCACCACACCCTCTCACACACCACCACACCCTCTCACACACCACCACACCCTCTCACACACCACCACACCCTCTCACACACCACCACACCCTCTCACACACCACCACACCCTCTCACACACCACCACACCCTCTCACACACCACCACACCCTCTCACACACCACCACACCCTCTCACACACCACCACACCCTCTCACACACCACCACACCCTCTCACACACCACCACACCCTCTCACACACCACCACACCCTCTCACACACCACCACACCCTCTCACACACCACCACACCCTCTCACACACCACCACACCCTCTCACACACCACCACACCCTCTCACACACCACCACACCCTCTCACACACCACCACACCCTCTCACACACCACCACACCCTCTCACACACCACCACACCCTCTCACACACCACCACACCCTCTCACACACCACCACACCCTCTCACACACCACCACACCCTCTCACACACCACCACACCCTCTCACACACCACCACACCCTCTCACACACCACCACACCCTCTCACACACCACCACACCCTCTCACACACCACCACACCCTCTCACACACCACCACACCCTCTCACACACCACCACACCCTCTCACACACCACCACACCCTCTCACACACCACCACACCCTCTCACACACCACCACACCCTCTCACACACCACCACACCCTCTCACACACCACCACACCCTCTCACACTCTCCCACGCCATCTCACTCCATCCCCCACAACCTCTCGCACCACCACACCCACTCCCACTCCCCCTCTTTTCCTTCTCTTCTCTTTTCCTCCTTTCTTTTCCCTTCTTTCTTCTTCTCTTTTTTTTTTCTTTCTTTTCCCTCTTTTTTTCCCTCCCTTTCTTTTCTTCTTTTTTTTCCTTTCTCTTTTCTGTCTTCCTCCTTTTTCTCTTTCTTCTTTCTTCTCCTTCCTTCCACCCCTCCTCACCCTCTTCCCCCTTCTCCTTCCCACCCTTTCCACACCCATCTCCGGCGCCCAGCCAGCGTACCGTCGCACCTGCCCCCAATCACCACCCGTCCTCGCGCTTCCCGTCCCGAGACTCCCGACGTACACCGACCACGCACCTCCCCGTACCGTCCCCACTCCCGTCGCGCATTCTCCCCCGCGCCCCCCATCGCCATCCATCCCCTGATTTCGGACCACGGACGAAAGATTGCTCGCGACGAACGCCCTGTGCCCCCCCCCCTCACCCCGCCGTCCACCTGACGTCCCGATCCCGAGATGTCCACTACGCTATGCGTCCTTTTTCCCTCCCGACTCGCTTCCCCTCTTTTTCGCCCCTTCGTCTCCCGCCCCGCTTCTCTTCCCTTCCTGCGCCCCGGCTCCCCGTGACACCCGTACCCCCGCCACGTACCGGTCCCCCCCGTCGTCGCGTCGTCCCCGCTTTCCGGCCCACCGAACACAATATGCGATGCCTTCTTCGTTCCCAGCCTGGGGAGCGGGCTACGCGTATTTTTTCAGTCGGCCGGAAAGTGCGGACCACGCGAACGTGCTGGGGACCAGTAGTCGGTAGGGATATACAGTCATTTTCACGGTAGAACTACGGAGAGCTTCGCGAACGCGCGTCGGCACGCGCGAAGGGAATAGTCGTCGCGATCGACAGACGAGCGAGACAGAGGGGAAGCGAGCCGTGCGGGATCCGTTCTCCGACCCCTGCCTGTGGTCCCCGAGCCCGCGTGCGTCGGTACGATCCAGTCCTCCGTGTGCGAACCACGAGCTTGCTTTCCGAACCACCCCGCGACTTCGAGAGCGTCGTCTTTGCGCCGCGTTCTCCACGTGTCCACGCGTCACTGGCTTCCCGATGTTCGCGCGTTTCTGCCGGTTTCGTACGATTCCGAGGAACGCGGTCACCGATCGCGTGTCCGGGAGTACGAGGTGTCCCGTGTCCACGGGAGTTTCTACTCATTCAAACAGAACACCAGCGGTGGTATGACTTTTCCCTCGAGGCTCGCTTCCCCTGTTCTTCGCCCGTCTTTCGATCCCCACTACTCTTCCCCTCGTGCGTTGCTCGCCCAGCTCTCCGCGGCGCTACCGTCACCCTCACTGCCTACCCCTACCGACTATTGGTCCCCGCCGTGTTCGCATCGTCCCCGCTTTCCGGCCGAGGGAAGAGTTCTACCACCGCTGGAGAACACGTGTGTCTGCGTTTTCTTTCTTTATTTTTCCTTATAAAACTAGAAATTTCCGCGCGCGTCCTCGGTCTGCGCGTCGTCCCACGGTTCCTCCGCGCTCCGTCCTACTTTTTGTCTCGCTGCTTTTCGTCTCGTCTTCCACCGTTCGTCGTCTGTGTCGCTCGATCGTTGCCCGACGTAGTCGCTCCACCGGGTTTCGCTTTCTCGCTCGTCTTCTTTCCGATGCTCCGAGATCGATCGTCGAGGTCTTTGCGTCGCGCTGTCCGAGGGCTTCCGCGGACTCTCTCGCGGATCCAGGGGCCCTACCGGTGTTGTCGCTCGGACTTTCGGCGGCTTTTCGCCGTTCTTTTTTCTCGATCCACCGTTCCGTCCGACCTTTTTCCGATTTTACGGAATTGTCTTTGTCCGTCGTTGTCGACCGTGTCACGTGATTTTCTTCTACGACCGTGTTCCGAGTCCGTGACCGACTCGTGCGCCGTCTCCCGAGGCGCCGAGAACGTTCGTTTCCAGTGCCCCGCGCTGGTACGGCCCCTCGACCGCGCCTCGTCGTGCCGCGCCGGTTTTTCTCCGCTCCGACGCCTCGACCGCGTCGCTCCCACGATTTTACGGTCTTCGTTTTACGTGTCACGGTTCGCACGCGTCAGAGACAGATATTTTCTTATCGTGCGCTCGCACGGAAGAGGTAACAGATTGATGTTTCGCATGTGTCTGTATTCCTTTGGAGAACGAATGTGCAACAGCAGACACAGCGTTACCCAACTCTCGTTGTACCTGTGACCGTTTTGATTCTTGCTTTTCGCCAGTGAAACGATCTCTTGAATCAGCACTTTTTGTACGTCGGGAATTTTGTTTTTCACACAGTTCTCCAACAAGTCGTTCAAGTTCACGTTTTTTATGTTCGTCTTTATCTTGTCCATCTCGCTCTTCAATTTTTTTATTTTCGACTTGGCGCGATAGATCGCCTTTCGTTGAGCTCGCACCGTCCTCTTCCATGCGTGTAACGAGTCTTGGTTCGCTGCCTCCGGGTTCGACGAGTCCCATCCTCCTCCTCCTGCTTCCGTCCCACCGACGTTTCTTTTGCTCATGCGTAACTTCTTTTGTGATATCGTTTTCCGTACCCTGGCGCACGTGTTGCACTTCTCGTTCGCGCTCAGTAGTCTGCATCGCTGGTGTCTCAGAACACCGAGACTGTCCGTGTACGATATTTTCTCCTTCACCAAGTCCACGTCTTTCAAGTCGGCTATTCCCTCGCACACGTACATCGTGAAGAATTGTTGAAAACACAGTTCCAGTTCGTTCACATTCTCCACTTTCGATTTCAAATTGAACCACTCTGGTTCGATGGCTTTGTTCCCTACCGAGTAATGAATTTCTGAGTTGTTGTGTATGTTCAAGCTTCGTTTTACCATCGTGTTGCTTCTTTCGTTCGACTCGACGATGCAAATTTCGAACAGTGCGATGTGTTCTTTCTCTGTCGAGAAGTTTAAATAACAGTTTTCCGGTAGTATTACTTCTTTGAAACTTCGACACAGATTCAGAAAGTTGTTTCTCACGCTGTTGTTTTCTGTTTCGTGCTCTGTACTTTCTTCTTCGGGCGACGCGGCGTTTTCTTCTTCGTGACGCGTGAGATTTTCTTCTTCGTGCCTCGTGTCTGACTCGTTGTTCGTTTCTTCGTCGTTCGACGTGCTGGTGTTTGCTTCTTGACCGTGTGACGCGTTGTCGTTCTCGCTCGTTGTTTCGTTGTTGTTGTTGTTGTTGTTGTTGTTGTTGTTCTTCTTCTTCTTCTTGTTCGATGAATCTGTGTCCCAGTTCTTCGAGTTTCTACTGATGATAGCGGCCTCCTCTTCTGCACTGATTTGTATGAAACACGGTTTGGCGTTCTTCTTTAGTCTTGGTATCTTCGAAGGTAACTGTAACGTGACGATTGACGATTGTACGTGAGTGAAACCAGGAGATTGTCGAGATATTTACCGTGGCTATGATGTTCCCGGAAGAGTCGAAGAAGTTTGTGTGAGTTATCACGTCTTCTTGCGCGAAATGTTTCTGACAGACTCGATGTTGTTTGTCGTTTAGATTTTCGATTCCCATCACCTTTTTCCATTCCTCTTTCAGAACTGGATCTTTGGGGAATTGGAATACGGGTAATTTTATTTCGTTTCGACGATTCGTTTTGCAACCAGGCACGATGCAATAATTTACCATTCTGAGGTATTTCTCAGCGTTTCTAACCCTTAGAGACGAGGTTCGTTCTGAGCTGGTTACGAGCGGGAGAACGGACCGAAGTAGCGTCTGTGTGTAGTGCCAGTACGTATTGTTCAGCGCCCACTGTCGCACGTGCGCGGGAACTTTCGTCCGAGGTACGAATTATGAATTTGACTGTTCGTGTCGAACGCGTGAGTTCTTTCAGGTCCTTTCGAATTCGAGTCGCTTTTTTAGAATGTTTGCTTCGAATGTATTCGTGACTCTCGATGAACGTGTAAAGTACTCCGAGTGTGAGATCGTTGTTTTAGTCGGATGTACGTTTCGATGAATCGAGCGTCGTGAAGAACACCGAGTCGCGTTCGACGTACGCCCCGCTTTCTCTTTTCTACTGAATCGAACGCTCTTTTACGATTACCAGACGTTTTTTCTGATTTAAACGTCGTGTTTAGTCGGTCGAAACGATTCCCGACCTGCCTGGCATTGAAATGTTGAACGGGAAATGAAATGTTTGTCGTGTACACCGAGTTGTGTAGTACGATTCGAGTTTACAACTGGAATACGAAAATGTCAACGATCCGAATCCAGACGTATCGGAGAATGTCAGCTTGAGAACGACTGTTCCTCCGTCGGAATTATCGTTCCGTCGAATGTGATGGAAATATTTTAGGTGAGAGTGTTGGATGACTCGGCCTGTGTGAATTACGAATTTCATTGGAAATAGTATAATTGTCTTACAAAAATCACGTGTCGCAGTTGTGACGAGCTTTTTATATTACATAATATTTTATTTCGATCTTATAGTTGTCACGTATTGCCGATGTTGTTACTCTGGGAGTAACGGTTTGGTTACACAGGTACAGCAGTCCTCGACGCAGAATGTACGTCGTCTTTCAGAAACGAATTTCTGTTGTGAACTGTTCCTAATCTTGTTCGTCGTATCGTCGTGCAGAGTCATTCTGCAAAATTTAAAAGCCAGTATTGATACGTTGTTTTGTTGATGAAAGCATCGGTGCACGAATTGTAAGCTCGTTGATAAAATTTAGACTACCTTGTCGAGGATTTGTTCGACTCCTAATGAATTGTTCTTTGTTAAAGCGTACTATAGCTTTCAAGTCCTCGATTCTTCTGTTTGACCTTTTACATTTTTGCTTCCATACTCTCAACTGATTTTGATGGTCTTTTTTCATCCTCGCTATGTGTTCGCGTAGCTGATCTTTTTCCGGTGTGTGAAATAGCCTTTCTGGTGATATACGTGTCGCTTTGTCCTCACGTGCCACGTTGACTTGTACTCCTTTGTCGTTCTCAGAGAACGTCTGTAATGCACCGGGTAGTTAAAAAAAAAAACCGTTCGATGTTTGTACGGTATATAGGATGTACTGTACTGAGTGAAAAAGCTTCGGTAAACGTAGGTCGTGAGGTCAACCCTGATTTCTGAGGAATAAACGTTTTTGTTTGTTATTATCATGATTGACTTACTACTGAATTTTCGATGTTTACGGAAGATTTTCCACGTGTCCACCTTCCATTTCTACACACGCTTGGCATCTTCTTTTTACAGAGTCGCGAACTCTCTCGAAAATTCCACGTTTCTCGTCGAATTGTTCGACGAGCATGGTGGGTTCGGTTACGTAATTCTTCCAAGTATTGGGTGTCGATACAGATCTAGGTCTGCCAGAGTTTCGATGGCGAGGTGTCGGTCGGCCTGTTTCACGAAGACGTTGGTGAAGTTTTTGAAACAGCGTGTGAGAGGGAACCCTTCGATTGAGAAACGTCTCCGCGTAAATTCGTCGTGCAGCTGAAGCACTTCCATTGACACGGCCATACGTAAAATGCGTGTCTGTCGTTTCTTCGTTCGAGTGATACGCTGACGTTTTCACGATACCTTGTGACTGGGTAATATCTGCAATCGCCGATCCACGACTGACTGGTTCTCAATGAAATCTACTGTCGGTACTTGAATCAGAACGTTCAGAATGCGGTTTGTACACACTGAAGTCAACGTCGCGTGCATGCGAGCGAGCGAGTCAATCGTGATACTAGCGAACAAAAATGTTCGTGTCTTAGAAACGGTTGACCTTTCGACCTGTGTTCGTTAAAGCTGCTTTGTTCAGTACAGTGTGTCCTGTGTACCGTACAAGTATTGAATGGTTTTTTTTTTTTCAACACCCTGCGTATGATAATTTTGTGGTATCGTTTTCGTACGTGAATACACGAGAGACTTACGCATGCACTTGTTTGGACTTCGACCTTTGGTATTTCCAGTAAATGTTCAGCGTCAGATTCGACCTTTATATCTTGCTCCTGAATTGACTACGAACAATAGTAATATGTTCATGATGTATGAAGTACTTGTACGATGATCGAACGGATTTTGATTGCCCTGATTGTCATTCGTCTTCGTGTAACTTTCAACGTAAATGGACGAGAGACTTACGCGTGCATTGTCTGTTGAACGTTCCAATTTTTGGATTTTCTCTAAACGTTCAACGTCAAAATAGTCCTTTACATTTTGCTCCGAATGTTCGGTACCAGGATTGTCCTTTAGATTTTGCTCTGAATGTCTAGCATCGGCATTGTCGTTTAGATCTCGCTCCGGATGTAACTAAAAGTAGCAGTGATATTTTTATAAGATTTTCTCACCTGACGTGACGCGTCGTATCGTGAAGAAATACGTACGCGTGAGTATGAATGATCATTGAACAAGTCTGCGTTTTGTACCTTACTCCTTTCTTCTGGAACTTGTATCTTAAAGATGAAAAACCTGATGTAAAAAGATTTTACACGACGAAGAGGTATGTATGTATGACGATGCATGTTTTACAAAGATATGTATTGGATTGGGGAAAAAGTGTCTTCGTAGTTACGCGGTGAGTTTCTGAGTTAAAATTGTTTCTAATAATATTGATCGTACTTGTCAACGTGATAGCCGATTTGAGAACTTATGATTCGAACAGCAATTTGAAGTCAGAATTACTTCGCTTACTTTCGTTCGCTTCAGAATTCCTTGAATGGAGTAAAGTTAATTTCTAAATAAACCTGTGAATATTGGTTGTAGTTTTTTGTCCAAAAATTCCGAAAGTTTTACAGTGACCGGATGATTGTTCTGCCAAAAAGTGGCAGAAGATTGTCGAACAAAATGACACACGTTTGGTTTGAATAAATAGTTGTGAAACGTAAAAAAATGTTGTTTGAATTTTGTTCTAAAATATGAAGAAACTTGTTCCCTGACCTGTTGTGCACGGAACTGTTACGTACGAAAGGTACAGCGTTTGGCTGCAACCGTATCCGTGTCAACGAAGTTTTATCGAAATCTTCAGTCTTAAAATGTATTGAACATACGACTGTATCGTTATGGAGATCAGATTGCTTTAACCCTAGTTGCTTCATCCACAAGTTCCTCTTGTCATCCTTTTTAGGAAGCCTGAGAAAGCGAATTTTTCCATTATACGCTCTCTACAGAACTGTATTTATGTGTAAAATCTTTACTTTTGTAAGACATACCTATGGAAACTAATTTTTATTTTTTCTTCTAATATTTCTTGCTTAAAAGATTTCTGTGAACTCCTATTTTTACAATTTTTTACGATACAACTTGGCATTGCTCTGTTCAATTACCACCTACCGACAAATTTACAGTTCTATGATAAATCATAAGCGATGCGTTTATAACGGAATTAGATATGTAGAAAATACACATAATGGACAAAAATACGTAAGGTATCAATAGCAAAATACATGCCACGATGATCGAAAGTTTAAAAAACATTGTTGCTAAGTACGTTGTTTCTTAAATTAATAGCGTACAAGTTTTATTTTATATAAAAAATGTACGGTCTACTTTTGAGCTACGAATGTAATACTTGTAACCTTTCAGTATTTTATTGGGAACTCTACTGTTACTTACGAAATGCGAAGAGAAATGATACCAAATTATACCAAATAATAATACAACTCGCAAGTTAAAACGTGATAAATACAAGACGTGTGAACTTCTGCTCTCCAAATTGTTGGAGACCAGAGAATGCTGGCGCGACACCGCGCGAGTTTCGCCACGGCTTCGCTCTTCCCTGTTCCTGGACGCGCGACGGCGCTGTGGTTCGCGTGGCTCTCCGAATCTTGCGTGCGATCTACCCGTCTGTGTCACGTGTGCGACGGAGATCGAATTCTCGGCACGGACGTCGGCGGACGGTGAACGGTAGGTTAGAGTTAGAGGACGAGCGAGCAACGTTGCGGTTGGTTGCGGTTCACCGCTGTTCGAGGAACGTTTGCGATTGCGTTTTGTTTCCTGCTTCGTCGAGTGAGATAATTGCTCGCAGACATGTTGGGCGGTAAAATGGCAGGCCTTACGTGGGCGTCTCTCAAGAAAAATTCGATGGTGAGTGAATGACGGTGGTCAGCGTGTGAACCGTCTCGTCCCGATACCCGAGTGTCTTTCGTTTTTTTCGCTTCGCAGTTGTTTCCACTGTTCTTTTGCGTGGGAGCGGGTGCCGTAGGATCCGCCTTTTATTTGATGCGTCTCGCTTTTAAGAGCCCTGACGTTTCGTGGCACCCTAGAACGAACCCCGAACCGTGGAACGACTACAAGGATAAGGACTACAAGGTATCATTTCGTTCGTGTTCGTTCTTCCTCCTCGCTCCGGACGGGTTCTACGCGAAGGAAGAACGAACGACTCTACGAAAAGAGTACGACTCGCGTTCGAAACGTCCGTGATCAGTTCCTTTCTATTTTCAGCTTCTGGCGATGCAAGATAAGGAGAGATACATGGCTCAACCACCGAAGTACTGAACCCCGTGTATACTTTGTCCCGATTCTATAGTGATGCCAGCGATAGGAAACGAAGAATCGGTGTCGTCACCGAATCGCGTCCACGACCGAATTTTCTCGCGACCGTGCCGAGCGATTCGACGAGACACCCGATTCCGACGCGTATTCGATACGTTGTACCCGATTAGTTTCGTATTTCGATTAAATACGACGCGATCGACGATACGTCGATGGTCGTCTCTGTGATACGGGCCGAGTATTTTTATCTCCCACCACCGAACCTCTTCTACCTACCTCCTCTTCTGCTGCTACTGCTGGTGCTGCGTGTACGTGTGCACGTACGTACACGTATGACTACCTACCTACCAGCACCCGTACGTGACTGTATGTATACGTATCCACCCGCGACGACGCTGTCGTTCGTGCTGTGTGTGTCGTCTCGCCGTCCGTGATTTTCCGTCTGTTCGGCAGAGGTTGGGCGTTTTAGTATTTGGTGTCTTTGATGCTGCTTCGCTGTTATTGCTGCTAGACGGGTGATATAATGGCGTCTTTTGGCAGTGTTTTTTTGTCGATCGGTCTGTTCTGCGTCTTGTTCTTCCGCGTCGATCGATGTTCTGCGGCAGCCGACGAACCAGAGCACGAGGATCCTTTGCGACGATTTCCAAACTCTCTGCGTGAACTGGACAAGCCATTTCGCGTGGCGAGATTGAACGTGTTGTGGGCAAAAGCGAAGAATGTGAGTATGATTCGCGTGCTACGTTCCCAATCTGTGCCTGCTCGCGATGTTCGCGGAGACCGTCCGAATGCGTTCTCATTCACCTCGTCCTCGTCCAGCGATTGACCGATACCAAACTGCGATCCATCTTCAGTGATCTCAAGATTCAAGATGAGGAGGAGATCGCGTACAAACACTTCCGAGCCGAGGGCAAAGATCCGTACGGCGAGCGAGAATCGCGTTTGCGAAGTAAACTGATAGGTACGCGAGAATCTGTCCGTGACGAGTGGAGGTACCCTGGACCCACCTAGTACCTGGCGCTCGTCGTGGTTTCTCTCGTTCGTCGCTCCGTTTCATTCGTCGTCGTTCTTTCTTTTCCCAAGGGATCATGAGCACTTACGGGATGTTGGAGCGTTTCGAGGATACCGAGGATCCGGTGTTGTTGCATCGACATCGTGCTTTGAACGATGGTAAGAATGATTATCTTCGTCGAGACGTTTTCAAAGACGCGAGGTTGAACAAATTATGGGCCGAAGCTGAGACGGCAGGCTTTACGGGTGAGTTGTCGTTCGACCGACCACCGTTTCTTTTTCGCGTTCTCCGTTCCGACTGGCTATTTTTGTCACTGTCCTTCCACGAATGAATTTCCATGTGTCGTAGACGAGGAACTGCGAGCTTTGAAGGAAGAGTTTCGACGCCATCAGGAGAGAGTGGAAGAGTACACGCGTCTGTTGAGAGACGTTGGAACTGATGACCCGCCTCAGAGTTAGCACCCTTTCTTCTCTAGCGACCCGACGTTTCGTTTCGATCGCGATCCCAATTGTCGCCTCTTTAAAAACGCGTACTATGTTCTGCTGCAGACCGTCGTTCGCCCGACCGACGATTCGCTGCTGACCACGGGAACGAAATCGAAGCCGAGGAGGAAGAGATTTCGAACGACGTGCGATCCGAACGTGAGCCGTCGGATCACCTGGAAAAAGCGACTCTCTTGAGGTGCGTGCCGTTGTACGACGACGTTGCTCGGTCGTGGAAGCGTACTCTCTTTCTTCGCCTACGAACCGCTTTTTCTCGTCACGAACGAAATTTTTTAGGGAGAAACATTTGGAACTTAAGGACGGATACGATCGTTTGGACAGATTGACTGGCAAGGGTCCGAACCATAAACGATTCGTCGAACCCAAAGTGCAAGGCTTGTGGCGTGTCGTCTTGGAAGCTGATTTTTCTCCCGAAGAACGAGCGTCCTTGAGGGTAAGCGCGCGCGCCCGTCTACACGGGTTCTCGAATCCGCGGTTCGATTCGATTCGATTTGTCGGTTCCCGACTTCGCGCGTCTCCTCCGTGACTCGACGATTTTTCTTGTCAGGACGAACTGATGCATTACGAGGGGAGGTTGCTCAAGTTGAGGCATTACCATACGGAGGCCGCTCTGGAAGCCGCGCATCGAGGGAAAACGTTCGATTCCCAGCGAAACTCTACTTTGGAACACAGGATAAAGAAACACGCGAGAACCGTCGAGAAGCTTCATGCGGATCTTGAAGCAAAGATTGTACGAAGACACTCCGAACTTTGACAATGACGGACGGGATAGTTGTAGAGACTCGTAATCGGTGGATGTTAGTCGTTGGTCTCTCCTTTCGACGAGTCATCCTTCACCGATCTGCCGCGTCTCTGTACGCGTCTTTGTATTTTTTACCGACTGCGTCGCATCTGCTTTATTAAAATATTGCTTGTACCGTTTACTTGTTGCGGCTGTTCAAAAATTTCCTTGCTCTCTGCTCCTCACCACCGCCGACGATTCACCGATCGGTATCGCCCCGTGATTTAGACATCGATCCGAAACGTTCCCCACCCCCCACCCCCGTTTCCGGCCGTCCGATGGCCACCGGTGTGTGATACATCGATGCGTTGCTATAGCGATCGGTGTCGTTGCGGTAAAATTTGCAACGACGGCGCACGGATAACGCGTGGTGGACGTGCACGTTCCACACCGATTGAAATATCTTTTGAGGAGAGTTTTCTCGTCCCCGTCGGAGTTTTCGTAAATCGGAATTCTGAATTTCGAGACTTAATGGCGACGGCGGCACGGACGATTAAGGATCGAGTGATCCCCGCTATGGATACTCTGGTCAAATACGATAATCCGGTGTTGGTTACCACTCGTCCGGAAAAGGTTCGCGTTTTGTTGCTACTGTCGTTGTCTTACGTTTGCGCGTTGCTTTCGAAGGGTGCAATCTCGCATCTACTGATTTTGAATCTCCGAACCAAAGGTAACGAAAGAACAGGCACCGAGGATTGGTGCTGCGGTTTGTAAAGTCGAGACTACTGTCCCTACGCTCGACGCGAGACACGAAACTTCCGAGATTTTAAACAGGATTCTACCGCCTAAACAATGGGAAGAGGACGGTCAGTTGTGGACTCAACGGGTGAGATTTGTTATTTTTCTGTTTGCCTTTGACTGGCGCGGCGCGATTGCTCGCCTGATTTCGTTGTTGTTTCGCGCGTTCGTGTCTGGTACCGTGATTTCCGTGTCGCCACCGCTGCCGCAGGTGTCGAGTACTCCGGCCACGAGGCTGGACGTGATCAATCTGCAGGAACAACTGGACATGAGATTGCAACAGAGACAGGCGAGGGAGACTGGTATCTGTCCGGTACGCAGGGAACTTTACACGCAATGCTTCGGTAACTCGGTTTTCTTTTTCTTCTTCTTTTACTAACAAACCCCCCCCCCCCCCCCCCATGGTCGATCGATCATCGAGTTCGGATAGCTCCGTTCTCTGCTTTTGTTAGACGAAGTGATACGACAAGTAACGGTCAACTGCGCGGAACGTGGATTGCTTTTACTCAGAATTCGGGACGAGCTGAAAATGACGTTGGCTGCGTATCAGACTTTGTATCAAAGCAGCATAGCTTTCGGTATGCGCAAAGCTCTTCAGGTACGTCGTCTACCGAGCTGTACGCTCTGTATTTTTTTATCCGATCGGTCTCTCGAGTACGATGATTGTCGCGGTGATTCGCGAAACGACGAGAGATACGTATACGTTGAGGAATCGGTGACTGCTGCGTTTGCTTTAACGAGATTCTCGTTGTTCTGGTTGATCGTCGTCGTCGTCGGGAAGGCTGAGCAAGGGAAGGAGGACTTGGTCGCGGCTGCGGACGAATTACAATTGCAAAAAGCTGAGTTGGAAAAGACGGTCGTCGAATTGAAACAGAAATTTGAACAGGCTGAGAAACGGGCGGCCGAATTGAGGGAGGCGGAAGAGAAGAAGCATATGGAAGAGATCCAATTCTTGAAGAAAACGAATCAGCAGTTGAAAACGCAATTGGAGGGAATCATCGCGCCGAAGAGATAAATTGCACGTGTATCGGATGTCTGCTCGACCGACGTGTGCCGACTCTACGATCGATTTCATTTTATATGACTGTGCACTATTGAATCGCATCCATTCGCTTCGATATAAATCGAGTTTAATAAATATATGTATAGTTTATAAAATAGCTATAGTCATATATAGGACCATTCTTGTTGCGACGATAGATAAAAATACTATTTCGACGTTACATCCCGAGGCATGTCTCGGCATCTATTATTAACTTATGAAAAAGTAAGAAATACAAACGGTCGTGTAAGGTACGGAGATACGCACGAGGATCGGATTAATCGTTACCATGACGGATCGCGCGCGCGCGTTGCACCGGTCCAACGGCGACGACGTACGAACTATGAACACTCGCGCTGGTACTACGTCGAGTGAGCGCCGGTTGTTGAGCACGGTCCGTGAAACGGGAATGTGAAATGATTCGGTTACGACTACTGATGCACGAACAGCGAGAGATTTTTAGTATGCTCGTAGGCTTCCTCTGAAAATGTGCGATGAGTGTAACTGTTAGCGGCGCGGACAGACGAAGGATACTGCGTCGTCGGAACGCGCGCGGCTCATGCAGCGTGTCTGGTCCGATCGGTGACGCCTTCCTAAGGTTCCTCCTACTACTGGTTTCCTAGTTTTCCGGCCGTTTCGCAGCGAGATCCGCGATCAATGACGACCCTTCTTCGAACGTTTTCGTTTCTTCTTATTCTTGTTCGTCGTCGTCGTCGTCGTCGTCGTCGTCGTCGTCACGAGAACGGTGCGAGCACTTGTTTTAGGAACGACGACACCACTTGTCTCCTCGCTGGCGACACTTACATCGGCTGGTATCACCGCATGGTTCTCCTCTCGCAGCGGCGGCGGCGGCGGCGACGGTGGAGGCGGCGACGGCAGGGTACTCGCCACGGTAGACGATTGTCCAGTCACCACTTCTTCGCTTTCGCTCTCGGCGTCGCTCGCACCGGTTCCGGTGGTGCTGGTGACGCTTTCTACCTCGTCCTCGGCGTTACTCAATTCCAGTGATATGATCTTTTCTCGCAGAGTTTCGACCTGGTTCGCATAAAAATTCGCTCTTTCATTCTTTGTCGATTCGCCGCGATGGCTACGAAAGAACGGCGGATAATTTGCATTTGCATACGAGTAATTCAGATTATTGATCTTGTCTGATCTCGATTGAAACGTACGCGGTGAACGTAAGTGATTGCGGTAAGCAATACGTCGATCGACGACGCCAAAGTGACTCCCGGGTTGGATACTGAGAGTACTCATACCCCCACCCACCCCGCACCCTTCGTACATGCTCGGCTAACGTGATGAGTGACCATTGATGATCAAGAAGAGTGAATAATAGCATTACCGATGACAGCGTGCGAGAAGAGTTTGTTAGTGCGAGATCGGCGGTGTGTGTGTGTGTGTGTGTGTGTGTGTGTGTGTGAAATCGATTGCTCGGGGTGGTGCAGCAGGTTGCGCTTCCACGGTCAGCGGCGGATCGTCCTTGGAACCAGAACCAGAAACACAACCACCATTGAACCGATGTACTCGACGCGATGCTTGATAGATACTCGGTGCGCAACGTTTTGTGCAAGCTCTATGATTATAATACCTGTCGCTCAATGAGCTTCTCGACGTATTCGACTGTTCGGACGCGACGTTCACCCGTCACCTCGTCCACGTATTCCTCGGTACGTCGAGTGACCTTCTCGTCCACTATTTTCTCGGATTCGCGTATCTCTTTAGGGGGACCCACTTTGCTGCGTACAGCGAGTTTGGGAAAATCTGCGCTAGACGGCCGTAACGTAGCGAACTGTATGAGATACACAGAGAGACAGACAAAGGAGATAAACCATTTTCGAGTCGACGTGATGACGACGATTGCGATGATAAACAACGGACGAAAAAAGTTAGAACTACAGCCAAGCGAAGAAGTGATTAGTAGATTGACGATACGAATGTTGCTGGTGGTTAATTTGTTTCGGACACGCAGTTGGATCACGGCGCGTTTGATACTTAGTTTCTGCGGTGACTCCACGGGCGATCGCCACGAATGTACGATTGTGTACGAAACGACTACGACGACAACGCTTACATCGGCCGGCGGCTTCTCTGGTTCGCCGGGGATAGGACCAGCGAGGATGATGGCATCCGTGGAATCTTGCACCGTTTCTGTCTCGTCTGCGTCTGTGTTATTCGTAGTATCCACCATTTCGCTCATTTTCTTAATCACTAGCTGCGCTTGAAGAGCATCCTACGCAGACACACGCGCACACACGTTTTGCTATTATTTTATTCAGCGCTTCGAACAGGTTTGTACGTGTTGCTGTTATTGTTCGATTCGTACTCAATTAGAGGCGTACTCGGATCGGGGACTACTCGGTGTTTACCTGCTCGAGAGATTTTAAGCGGGCTTGTCTCCACGCCGCTCGCTTTTCTGCTCTTAAAGCTCTCTGCTGGGCAGGACTCAAATGACTCTCTTCGTCCTCGTCCGAGACGATGATGCCCTAAGGAGAACGAACGCACGAATTAGAAGAGTACGGAGCGAGTACGCACGGAGATTAGCATCGATGAAACGCGTGAAACGAACGCGAAACTATAACCGTATATAACGCGTATTGATAGTATAAACGGTTGAACGATGAAAACGATACCTCCTGCGCCAGTCTCTCCTTCAAGCGACGTTCCGCTTTTGCCGTCCTTACACTGCTCGGTGGAAGATTCTGCAGAAGGGGGATCGAACTTCGCGAACTCAGTCGGCTACTGTAAGGTAACGAGCATGCACGCTGACAAATCATGTACCGAAGTGCCGAATGTTCCTACGTATGTTCGTTAAATAGGAGGAGAGGTACGAAAAAAAGCAACGTTCGGTACAAAGGCTTTTGCGAGAAATTGTTTGCGAGAAATTGTTTGCGAAATTGCTGCTGCGTAAAGTGTCGACAAACGATACTCGCGATACCACGAAATTATACCGCGCGCCAATTATACCATCTTCTTGTACATACGTGTGTACCGCGTCTTTGTTAATGAGTCGAATCGTTGGCAAGACAATTCCAAAGAACAATTGATTATAATTTTCGTCTTCGCTCGCGCGCGTAACGAGATGTGGTATCGAGATACAAAGTACGAGTAAACTACGTAGCGTCGAACGAAAGTATATGGATGACAATAGTTGTTCTTTGGAATTGTGAGTGAAAGTGCATTGCGCGGGGTCCCTGTGCGAGTGACAACGATCGATAGCTCTACCGACTAATTTTGCTGGGGCGCGAAGAAGAAAGAAAGAATATGGATAGTGTCATTTTATTGTCGATGGAAATGCCCACGCGGTCGTATACGACCATGCAAATGCCTGTGTGTATAAGCGCAACCACAACCTGAAGTGCAGCGAGGTACAACGTGAATGGGGACGTTACTTAAAAAGAAGCTATCGCGAGACTGTGACAAACTTTTTGCACGCCGCTACCACTCCGACGCATACCCTCCCCCTCCCCCCGGTGATCTGGCGAAGAGCATGCATACTTTTACGAATCGATAGTATCAGCTACGACGAAAAGCACCTGCTGCTGCTGTTGCTGCTGCTGCTGCTGCTGCTGCTATAAATATTATATACAGGTGAAATCCATCGCGCGAGTTCAAAAATACTGATAGTTACTATTCGCCGTCTGTTTGATATTCACACGTTGTTCAGTCGCTTTGCATTGAACGTCAACGTATCGTTGTTCTTTGATTACAACTTTTTCTTGGGAACGACTATTTTTCAGTTAAAAGACAGTTTTTCGTACTTCATTTCTATGTGTAGCATGGATAGATTGTGCCAGTCGACTGCCAGTCTTTCAACTGGAGCAACGATTAACGCGATTACAATACATATACATGTACTTTTATGTGCAGAACAATGCACGTTACGTATATTCGTAATTCGATCTTCTCGTGTGTCACAAATTTCGTCCGAGTCTTTTCAAGTTCGTGGTATGTTGAGTAGAAACGAAAAAGAAAAGGTACCAAGGTAAAAAAGGTTTTAATGATCACACGTTCAAACGCGTAGAATGTGAGTACAACTTGTTAGCTGAGCTTACTTAGGTCGCCGGTTATCCTGCTGCTGCTGCTGCTGCTGCTGATGCTGATCGTCGAACGTTTCCTCTGAATCGTCCAAACCTTCGTTTTCATCTAGTCGAGCCCAAGACTTTAATTCGTCCCGCGTCAGAGTGGCGATCTTTTTCTCTGAAAGCACACGCCGTCACCGGCGGATCGTTAACAACGAGCGTGTCACGCAGAGATCGATGATCGATTAAACGGCCGGCGGTCGACAGTGCAGTGACACGCGCAGTACGACGTACCTTCTTCTTGCCTCATTTTCTCGACTTCGTCCTGACTTAGAAAACTGAATACTTTCTCTGAAAAATACAGAACAGAGATGTACGCACGTGCGATAGTGTGAGCGACGTGTATGGATTACGTATCGCGTTCATCGCGTATTTAAATGTTACTGTTCTACCTGGTTTAGGAGAAGGTTTCAAATGTTCCTCCATGGCACTTTCAAACAATTTCTTTTTATCGCTAACCGACATCTTTACTAAAGGCGGTGTTGGTGATTGCGTTGGCGAAAGCTACATTTCAAAACAACGTACAACGCATTAATATCCAGGAGGAGATAGTATTTCTCATCGGTGATGAGATAAAAATATTTTTAAGAAAGATGCCCAGTGCGCATACACTCGCTCTTCTTGTTAATCATCATCGTGTCGCGATGTCATGCATGGATATAGTGACCGGGGAACGATCTTTGTTAATACGCGGGATTGACTCTCGCTCGAATCGAAAGCGCTAATTCTAACGTGAATCGAGTAAAAAAAAAAATAGAATCCGCTGTTACCGGTGTTAGATGTGTCATGCTTTTGAAGAACCCACCTCCTCGACCCGATTACTCCCATCGACAGAGCGTGCGTTCTGTCGTTTACCACCAAAAGAAGCCGACGTGCCGTGATCTCCCATGATGGACGTAGGAACGGTCAGAGGTGTTGGCGGGAGTTTGAAACCACGAGAACGAGGAACGGCGGCGGCGGTTTGGATCGGAGGGATGTAAGTTGTCGTTGTTGCAACGACTCGAGGTTCGGAGGTCTGAAATCTTTTTTGTTCGTGCGAGTGGAACGGAGAGAAATATTCGGTTACGGGCAAGGGCGAGGGTGAGGGCGAAGAGGATCGGTGATCGTTCGATTCCGATTTCGAACTCGGAGGAAGATCGGCGAACGTGATGCTACGTTTCGGCCGAGAAACGTTTTTTTTCTTTGGAGAGGGCAAGCTTTGGACAGCAGCGTTACGATTGAAATTGATCGGTCTCTCGGTAAGAGTAGAAGCCGGCGGTGGAGTCTCGGACGGTGCATTGGCCGCTGCTGGCGTTCCAACTCTCTCTTTCCTTAGCGACTACGTCAAAATAACACGAACGATCGTATTAGTACAGTTAACGAACAAGCGTGATTAAGTAAAATTATAAACGGAACGACTTCTTTCAAGAGATGTGTGAGTGTGAGAGAGAGAGAGAGAGAGAGAGAGATGAGAGAGCCGAATATCTCTCTACGGAGTTTCATAGGCTCTGTGGCTATACTTTAAAAACAGATTTATTTCGCAATACTATATCCCATACAAAATCTATATTAGAATTAAAAAGGAATCAGTTTTAAACTTATTCACATTCCATACTCTTTATCTTTTACCCCGTCTATACATCCAGTATTGTGTCAATTGTACTATTATTGCAACACGGTTCGCGCACCTCTGCGCCTCGTAACTTCTTTGTCGGTATCACCCTCCTACTCGCCAATGATTTGACACGTATCTAAGTAGACTTCTAATAAAGTTTTACTTCACATTTGTTTTGTACCCTCTGTCCGTCACCTTCGTCAACGTGTATCGATGCGCCGTCGCCGTCGCCGCGAGCTATTCTGAGACGATGCGACCAGCTAAATTTTTATCCTTTTAAATTGTACCTCGCCAACAGGAACTGTGATCACGACGCATCGGTAACATCGTATCCGATACGTATCTCTACGAACGTGAAGAACTTGTACGTTTCTGTACTCGTAGCTCGTTAATGTTCGTATGGAATTCGGTTCCATGTAATGGAATGCAATCAGCAATTTCATCAGAAAAGCCCGGATGGCATCTGGCACACTGGCATCGGGATACGTTTGAACGAAGCACGCTACTACACGTTTCATTTCTCTCTCTGTGTGTGGCGGTCAACTGCTGCAACTTCCATAGTTTAACATCGTATTATTTTCTTTTCTATAATTAGATAAATACTATATCTTATCTCTCACATTTTGTAATAATATATAAACATCTGGTCCATTAGATTTATATCAACATATATAACATTCATAGAACATTTGTAGAATACAGTACATTGATTTACATTTCAATAATGATATGAGTTCGAGTTGAATCTGTAAAAGTATAACCATCCAAGAGTGGTATCATTTGTAACTTGCGAAAGAAATGCTAGACGCAGAAATGTCTTGTCGTTTAAATGACATTTTCTCGTTTCTGTTCTCGACCGTGATGTTTCCGTATCTCTTCTCTTCATCTTAATTTTCTCTGACTTTTTGTACACCGTATGACGCGATGTTGAGAAGCAACTTGATAGTCTTTGCGAACGATGCACTTCCCTACGCGGATAATACGCGCATCCCTCACCCCAAAGTGTGTGTGTGTGTGTATGTATGCGCGCGCGCGTATGTGTGTGATATTTGAGTGAATGCTATATACGTATATAAAATAAAATAATCATCACAGAAGTATTTTCTCCTCCCGCGCGCGCGCGCGTTCATCTTTCGACCGATTTTCGTGAACGGAGGACCGATGAATGTCAAGTATATCGAGCATGTCGACTATGTACATGAGAACCTGTAGTTAAGGAAGTTATCACATTTTGTGATCGTTATCATATATACGTTGGTTGAACCCATTTTCACCCCGCTTTGGACCGAAGTAAAGACAGAACTGATCGCAGAGACAGAGCCACTCCCGGCTCAGCCACCACCACCACCACCACCGGTAATTCACATGTATTTCGCAATAATTACACTTAACGTTATATAATGGCAGTATCGGTAACAAACGGAGTAACGGTAGTTAAACGAACCGAGTACAACAATGACACCCGTGAAACGCAATGACGCAAACACCATGATTAATGCGAGTTAGCGACACGAATTCCTTCGAGTTCGACGTTTATATTATGGCACAGTTCCGCGGCGGAATCACAAGTATCGCGCGGACGTAGACACAGGAAAAATGCAGAGCAGAGGGTCGGACGATTCACTCCTGCTGTTAGAGGGCAGCCAAAGTAGCGTTATCGTCTTCCACTGTCTGCAAACAACACGTGAAACATCTGTTTCTTGTTTTGCCGCTCACTCGGGAGAGCATGCGACGACGCCGCTAATAAAACACTGACAAATTTACATTCCATGCGTCACATATTAAAAACAAGTAACGAGAACGAGAGTCACACGTACGACGGTGAACCAGTTCGATGAACAATGAATAAATAATAAAACTGCTCAATGGCGGCGATACATCGAACCAACGAATACGTTGAATCATTCGAAGATTGAAAAATGTTTAGCAACGAGACGAGCAACCGATTTTTCCGATTTACAAACGTTCCATATATTGTACCATAATAACGTTCCGTTTTCGACAGCGACTTCAAACACTGACACTGTTCATAACCTACACTATAATGTGTCGTACGTCCCTCCTTTTGTTCCAGTGCCATTAATGAAACGTACTTTTCCTAATGAGTCGTATACTATGTACATGTGTATGTGTGTAGTATACGACTTATTACAGTATATCACGAATACCTAGTATGTATACTGTATACATATATGTACATATATACTATACATATAGAGGTATTTGTGAAAACGACGAAAACGTGTGTGTATAAATAAATAAATAAATAAATAAATAAATAAATAAATAAATAAATAAATAAATAAATAAATAAATAAATAAATAAATAAATAAATAAATAAATAAATAAATAAATAAATAAATAAATAAATAAATAAATAAATGAGTGAGTAAACCCCAGCCATGTATCAACAGCCATGCATGTTTCATAAATCAGAGTCACATTGAAACGAAAAAGTAGTACGCGATCGTTAGTTTAAAGAACCCAACCAAGAAATGAACGAGTTAATTGTTGAATGGGTCTCCTTGTATGAATTAAACTTATAACTTGGTTTCGATCGTTATGCTCCGTTAGTAAAACTAACGGTTTCAACGATGACTGACACGAAAAATGCATGAAATGAAAGCAAACCAGCACTGGTTGCAAGAGCATGCTATGCTACGCTACGCTACGATATGATCGACGATCGATGTTATCCACGAGTGTGTACTTACGTTTGCATTTTGAGGTGCCAACGTATGTTTGCTCATTACAATGGTGGTCGTTTTGAGATCTTTCGTGCCACCTGGTGATTTCGGCGGTACAACCATGTCAACGGGACTACTGGATTTGCTTACTAACGATTCGGCTGCTCTCACTACGTCCAATACCTGCGTGATTTCAACGTAACGAAATTCAAAAATTTCGTCGTAAATTTCTTTCAAGAGAAGTGAACAATGTTTCACTCCGACGTCTTTGTAACAACTTACTTTTTCTGGAGTAGACTTTTCTCTGTGCTCGAGCAACGCGCGTTCCCTCTCTTCTTGTTCCCACGCTATAAGTTCAGCTTTCATCTCTTGCTCTTGCCTGAGAGTCGCTGCTTCCTCGTCGTCACGATCCAAGCTGGACACGCTTTGCGACAACGATTTCGTACCGTCCGTCGTGGGCTCCTTCGTGAAATCTTTCTCGGCTCTAGATTCTTCTTCCTGTTTAGAATCTGTCCCGGAATCGCCGCCGGTTGGTAACGACATCGTCCCCGCTGGTTCGACGTCACTCTTGTCGTATCCTTTACAAACGACCAGTGTAATCGTATTCCCCGAACACCGTAATATGTTCACTGCTTCTTGGTGAGTGGCGCCCAATAACGATGTACCATTCACTTCCAACAGTCTCATGCCGACCTGCCGAGCGAAAACGAAATAGTAACGACGACCAGTTTATCTCAACGGGCAGCGACCAGCTGTTTAAAACGTATCTGAATCAACGTCACACACAATGATGTTGCCGAGTTTACCTTCAATCTTCCGTCCCTTTTAGCCGCACCGCCCGAGTTGATTTTTGATATGAAAACACCCTCGTCCGTGTGATCGAGAGGATTACCCTTTTGTCCCCGAAGGCCGCCTTTAATATGCATACCCAGCTTTTCTCCGGGCTCCTTTGTAATAGCTAATTCCTGAAATACGACGCAAATGTCGTATCAAGCAAAACAACTTTATTCGTCGCCGTCTCGTTTCACATTTCGCACCTCGGCCCTCACAAAAACTTTCTTATTCCCTCCGTTTGTTTATATCTTTATTCTACTAGATTTTTTTAATGCCGAGATAGATACATACATCACACATATGATCTAGATCTGGACTGTGATTTCATTTCGTTCGTGACGTGATCGCATTCACTCTATTCGCTTGTAATCAATTAGCAGAAAGCGATTTAGCGGAGAGCGAGTAGAGAGTTCTCTAGTTTTCATCTACTAAAGTAAGCGACTAAGTACTATTACTATTGTGACTGGTCGCGATTCTGTGCCGAGGTTTTTCGCAGCCTTCGCGAGATGAAACAACGACAAGCGTGGCGTCCAGAAATAAAAATAACAGGTCAAATAAAATCGAGTACTTACTGTCACAGGGATGTACTCTATTTCGACCAGCTTGTAGGACAAATTATAGATACGATAGCATTAGGTGACGGGGCGTAACAAAATTCGATCATAAGTGATGCACTGTTTGCGAATCGCGGTAAGCGTTATCATCGTCGATTGATGTATGCACGTACATGCACCTCTCACCGAATTTCGTCCTCATGAAACGCGCGCGCGCACGAACTTGACAGTTTGACCGAAGGCAGTTTTACCTTGGGATCACGATCGATCAATTGTACGCGTAGTAGACGTAAACAATTTATTTGTTTCGTCGTCTGAGATTGAAACCCTCGAACGCGTGAAACGTTACAGGGTATCGACAAGCGTGACATAGTAAACATTCGTAGTGATTCGTGAATCGTCACATTTCTTAAGCGTGTTGTCCTCTGTTTAATAAGCTACTTCGCAAAGTCAAGAAGCAAGAACGGTGTGTGTGTGTGTGTGTGTGTGTGTGCGTGGCGCGCGCGCGCGTGAGTGAGTGACTAACAGGCACGTAACGATCAAACGTAGAATCGCGTCGCTTGGTACCTGGTAATTTTCCGGTAATGGATCGTGTTGAACGGTAAGCACGATTTGGTCCTCGGGTCGCAGAAGTTCCATCACAGCTTCTTGATGAGTAGCTTTCGTCACGTCTGTACCGTTCACCTTTAGTATCCGATCGCCCATTCTCAATTTACCAGACTTCGCGGCTATACCGCCAGGCACGACCTAACCGATTCGACGCAACAATAATTTCTACATTATTATCACCGCAAACGATCTTCTACACTCGACGTTCAACGAGAACGTAGTAATACGAGAGGCTTACATGAGATATAAAAATTCCAGGTTCCTTTGCACCGAACGGTGTGCAAGAATGATCCGTACCACCGATGATACTGAATCCTAGGGATCCTTCTTTCACGAGAACAACGTCCTAAAAATGATCGTCCAAACGTTAAAACGAATATTCGTCTGCGTGCGAATACGTTCTCGCTCCCGCTTCAGAGACCATACGAATGAAATTTCAAAACAGCGAGGGACACGCGTGCAGTGCGAGTTTATATTCCTCGCGCGAGAGAATACGTTACGAACTTACGCTACTTACCCATTTCCATGCCAGGGGATAAGCACCGAGATGTACGAGTGAATCAATGTACTGATAAAATAACATTCCTTGTACGAGCAATTTCTACCAAGTATCAGTTTGATAATACATCGTTTATAGAAAATCATCGAGATGATCATCGAACCGAAAGTCAGGTAAATTTCAAATATTTAAGCATGCAACGAACGCAAATACATTTCACAACGAGAAACTCGAATGTAACGCTTGGACGTCTGGGTCTCTTCTCATAAAATGCTACCAAGCATCGACCAACAAGTGTACAGGTCGAAAATCGAAGATGATAATTGATAAAGTTATGTTACGTCTTCGATTAAACATGCAAGAGGAGAACAACCATTTCACCACCAATAACGATTTTCAACGATACAAGAATAATTATCCCGTAGATAAACAAAAAACGACTGATTACACTGAAATCTGTTCTGCAACAACGGGATGACACTGTCATCGAAACGATTAGTCAAAATCGTGTGATTATCGTCCGAAGCATGGAAATAAGTTAATAAATCAGAACCAAATACTTGACGTTTACCTAAGTTATTAAAAAGGTGCAAACTATTTCCGTTTTAAACGACAAGAAAATGATTACAATCTCACGTATAATAAAAGCTAGAAGACGAGTATTCGTGAAATCATTCCATTTTATAGAATGTAAACAGAGAATAAAAAATTAATCGAATCTGTATCTGAACTTCTATTTTGAATTGCACGTGCGACTGCGACCATAACAACGAGATCCATGCATCTAGCTACCAAGCCTCACATACCTCGATGATCACCGGTGGTACCAACTGATTTTCTGTGACCCTAGTCACGACGGTCTCGGTGAGGGTGCTCTTTGTGATGGTCTCGGTAACTTTACCGAGTGTGGTGGGGGCCGGAGGAAAGTTAACGTCTCCCGGTATATTGTCAGGCTGCTTTATTGTCACTGTCACGATAGGACCTTGATGGGAATCTGGTGATGGCGAGGAGGTAGCAGGACGAAGGAAATGAGCAGGGATCATAGCCTGAAATTCTTCGTTGGTGATTGGCTTCGGTACCTGTATGTCATCTTGCTGCTGGGGTGACGTCGACCTAGGCTCTGTAGAAGATGTGGGCGTCGAACTCGCGGTTGTCGCGATCGTTGGCTGCGAAATGCTATGCCTCGGGGCTGGTTGTGGATGCGGCGGCAGCGGCGATTGGCTGTTTGGCAATATCGATGAGATATTCTTAACGCTCGTAGATTCTGTGACACCATTCATTTTCGGCAATGTCTCCGTGATATTGGATTTCATCGGCGGCGGGGGCGTTTTCGAGGTGGGGCTCGGAGATAAAGTTCGATCGGCGTCCATCGAGCGTCGGTATCCGGTGTAACTGCCACCGGTGGCGGCGGTGCCGCCGCCGGGTCTACTCGCTATGTAACTGTTCGCGTTATACAATCCTGTGTACGGTTTAGGAGCACCGATCACTCGCGGCGACTTTTCCGACGGCGTTACTACCGCGGCGACCGTTGTTACCGCGTTTGCTTGCGAAAGCGGAATTTCACGTTCCACCACTAATCTCACGAATCTCTCCAAACCCGTTAGCAAAGCAACCGCTTGCTCGTGTTTGGCACCTCTCATTTCCACTCCGTTAATCTGTAACGACGACGACGACGAAGAGACCCGATAAATAATAATAATAATGTTAGAAGACGACGCAAACAGAAGCGAGAGCGATCGTGTGAAATGCCGATACTCACGGATATCACTTTGTCTCCGACCAGCAATTTACCATCCTTCTGGGCAACGCCGCCTTCGGTTATTCTTGAAATATATATTGCCTATACAAACAACGAGTCAAGGCTGAGCATTCGTCTGTTCGTTTCGAAACGAGGTAATTGTAGAAAATGATTTTCATTGATTCGATCACTCACATCGCTATTGTCTTTGAATGGCGGTGAACCTTCTCCGCCGGCAATACTAAATCCTAGTCCATTTTGGTCCCGTATCAACGTCGTATGGACAAGCACAGATACCATTGATTCGCTGCCGCCAGACTTTGTCGACGATATAGGCTCGGGAATTTTTTTCGCCTAAATTCCGAGAGGATCATATTAATCAATTTCAATTTTCTATTTTCAAACTGATACAACAGTGTAAGTACGACTATGTTAGATCCGTCCCCTCCCCCCCAACCACGTTGTACCTTAACAGTAGTATCGTCAAGTGAAGCGTCGCCATTTTCTAAATTATGTGGTAAGCCTACGGATGAAACGTGAGACGTCGCGCTTGGAGCTCTACTCGTACTTAAACTAGAGCACACCGAGTCTTTTTTCGACGCCTATTAATAAAGCGATACATCGATACGAATAATGTTAATGATCCATCCAAGGTGACATACGCGAGTCTGATAAAACCTGCGTTAAGTACCTGTTCGTATGACGACGGTGGCAGCAGCGGCGGCGGCGGCGGTACTATCCTCGTAACTTCCCTTTGTACCACTAATACAAGGGTACGTCCGCAAGCTTTCAAAACTTCAACGGCGTCGTAATGCCCTACGTTCACTACTGAAACACCGTTCACGGATAATACTTTGTCCTCCACTTTTAAACCTGCTAAATCTGCTGGTCCACCTGTGTACGGTATACGGAACGAAAAAGGAGTGTTCTGTTACGTCGCTGCTGCGAATCTCGTTATGGAAGACGTGAAACGTGTCCAAACGTTTGATATCAATTTAAGAAAGCGAAAGTTGAAAGCGGTCGTTACCTTCTGTGACCCTGGAAATGAAAATGCCTTCGTCGTCACCTTTGAAAGGTGTCGAACCGATGCCACCGGCTATCGACAAACCCAAACCACCTGTCGTCCTTTCGATATGAATTTCATATTGTTCCTCTCGAACTTCTATCGTTGGCTCTACATCGGAAGTCGCACCTGTTGTATATAACGTAAGAATTTAATTATCGTCATTGCCACATTTAAACTAGTGCTGCTTTACACCGACATTTTTTTAATTTCATTTTCCTCTTTACGAAGCACCGGTATTTCTTTGGCATCTTCTGACGGTCACAATTACGAGCGTCACGCATACGCCATATCTGTGTGTGATATTGGTTACATTTTTATCGAACGTTTATTACTTTACACGATTTCGCGCTGTGCCAAGATACTGTACCACGGACTGATAATGACTGGACGTGTGCGATAAGATAGGATAGAACTTGGTGGAAGGAGGATTTATCTTATCATCGTCGTGTACTGTTTGCTGTTAGCGATTACGAAGAAGCGATCGTATCGAAACGTTTGGAATTGGCTGTGCCATTTAACGCGGTAGTTTGCGACCACGATCGAAAGCTATTGTGATGTCGTCGTGGAAAGATCTTTGTTAAATCGTTAATTCAGCGACGGCGATCGTTAAGAGGTCAGGGTCAAATCGGAATTGTAATTGCTTTACCTACCTTGGCTCTGAGTGTCAAAATTCTCTGTTGGATCCGCGGGTGCTGTAGACGTAGACGTGGGGAGCACCTCCTCGTTCTTCTTCATAAGTGCCTAATACACGTTACACACAAATACGTCATGTATCAACGTATATATACACAGTGTTGTATATGTATGTATATTTATTTAACGAACTTGTTTCAGATAGATAGAACCTAATTACCTGCGCAATAATGGAAGCCACTTTTTCTTTATCCGCTGCATGGATACGTTTGTTTTTCAAGTGATGCGGAGTGTCTCTACGGTGAAGCCTATTTGGCCTGTTTGAATCGGTGTTAGCACCATCCATATCCTCCGCTATTGAAAATTCTACGTGCCTCTGTGTATCCTCGTTTTCGGATTCCTCCTCCTCGTCCTCCTCCTCCTCCTCCTCCTCCACGTCTTCTTCTTCCTCCCGTTCCTGGCCCCCGTGCCCCTCTTTCCCGCTTCCAACTTGGAGTTCGGATACCGATTTCTCGACATCAATCATATCCTAATACGACGAAATCGGTTTATCACATGAATCATATCGTAACCGATAAGGCAAATAAATAAATAAATAAAAACATTGATAAACCATAGCCGATACAAATACGTACAACGTTCGATTCTGTAATATACTGATTAGAAAGCGCTTGTTCCGTTTGTTCAGCGTTGCTAGACCGGAGATCTTCGCCACCAGTGCCACCGCCGGCAGGTACGATGTTTTCGTTTTGTTCGTTATTTACAGATTCAGGGTTCAGCCGGGATTCGCCATGGTCCATTTTACCTTCCGTCAAATCGTTAGGCTTTGACGTGTCAGTCTCGTTGGTTTTGTCTAAACCAAATGTTTGAGAAACATCCTAAGAAATTGTGCAAAGTCAATGAAAGGTGAGCTAGAGACCACCCGTCGTCGTCGTCGTCGTCGTCAGGTATCGTGCACACCCGCCGCCGTGAATTTCAATCGATTGTATTACCTGTTCATCGGTAGACGCCGATCGACTGTCGTTCTTTCCTTTACCAAACAATTTATGAGCTTTTGCTTTCAATTCTTTGGGATGAGGTGTATTTTGTCGTACAAACGGCGTCTAAAATGTGTAAGCGTAAAACGGGTAAATAATACACTTCCTTTTTTTATTGTGCGTGATGATTTTTAATACAACGAGTCGTAAGAACGGTAACGGTCCCAACATGTCACGTATCTCGTGAAGGTCCTCAACTTCGATACGACGAATCTAACGAATCTAGGAGATTTGATCATCATGTGCAGCTTTCTCACCTCCTTATCGGTTTCTGGAGGTTCGTCCGTAAATTTCACGGAATGCGTTCGCGACGCTTCTTTTTCCTGCCAGCCCTCGTCATCGCTACCACTACCAGCCAACTCGCGCATTTCACCGTCTTGAATGGCGTCCCTCATTCCAGCAAGCATACCGAGTCTTCCCGCCGCCGAATCTAAAGTACACACGACATGCGCGTGTACGTACATAGACAAAAACGTTATGTATGCGTCGCCAACGCTGCCACGTTATATCGTAACAAACAGAGAACAAAACCCAAACGTATATATCTCATCGTCACGTTTACGTCTCTCTTACTAACCATCGTGAGTTTCCAACTGTGGTAAAAGGAAACAAACCAATACGTCTTGACCAGTTTCTTCGTCGACGTCCGTTTGAAAAGTAAGCATCGGTTGTGCCTGATTCTTACTTAACCATACTGCCTTCAAGTTTAAATTGATCAAGGAGTATGGCAAGTACTGCAATCTGAAAACAATGAAAGCAGAACCGGAAACCGGTGTTCGACAGTTGGATGAAACATGTTCGGATGATGGCACACGATGGTTGAAATGATTATAGCAAGCCGCGTACCTATTCCCAGATACATCCAACACGTGAAGGGCGGTACACTGTCCAACTTCGATCGGAAGATATTGGAGTTTATTATCTCTCAAAGACAGTACACCTAACTGTTTCAAATTTCCTGAAACGAATAGAACGTGTGTCATAATTTCAGTAGATCGGTGGAACAAGACTGAGTCGACTCGATTCGAGATATCGAGTGTTAGAGACGACGCTAGTCAGCAGTCCCTTACCGATTTCTGGAGGAAGCGATTGCAAACTATTTCTATCGACATTCAAATTATTTAAATTACGAAGTTCTCCTATCGTCGACGGTAATTCCAATAGAAAATTTTCCGTCAGGATCAACTCTTGCAAGTTTTCACAGCTGCAATGGTAGATGAACACACAGCAGAATATTATCGCGTGTAACAAATCATAGAATTAATTTCGGTCGGCGACGACTTGCATCCTGCGCATACATACGCACAAACACACACACACACACACACAGAGTCTCTCTCGTACACGGTTTAACCTTACCTGCCTGTATTTGAATTTAAGGAAGAAAGTCTATTTTGGTCGACTTTGAGAATCGTCAGTTTTCTCAGTTCCCCAAGTCCGTCGGGTAATTTCTCGATAACGTTCTGCGACAAATGCAGATCTGTTAAAGATTCTAAACCACCTATTTCTTCCGGCAGATCCTCCAAACGGTTTTCCGATACATCCAGACACACCAATGCCTTTAATTGCCCGATCTCCGGTGGCAAATGCTGCAGGTGGTTATGATCCAGCCATAATTCTTGCAACGCCGGTAATTTTCCTATATGCGGTGGCTACAACAACAAAACAAAAGCGGCGACTCGTTAGAAAGACCTGTTGCCTCTACCGCGGCCTACCTGGTGTCTTAACGGCCCAGGTCGACCTTCGATCGCAATTCAATTAACATTCCGATTACCAAAACGTCCATGTCGTTTTCGCCCAGATCCAGTCGCTCCAATTTGTGTAGTTGTGAAAACGATTCCGGCAACGATTTCAGCAAATTTTCCCTCAACTCCAATGATTGCAACGACTCCAAGCTACGAACAATCGACGTGTGCGAACACATTCACCAGTTAATACTAGAGACGCAGCGAGATTCGATTAAAGGCGAGCGCGCATAAGTTAAAACGCGATTAAACTGCGTTCTCCGGGTTCTAGTTCTAGTTACCTTCCGAAATCGGGCGGCAGATTCGTAAGCGACAAATCGTTAAGTCCCAGAACAGTCAAGTTTCTTAATTGCACGAACCCCGCTGGGAGTCTGCAAAGATACGTCCTCTCTTTCACATCTAATTTCTCAGCATACCACTACCTGCATCTCTGCTACTACTACTACTACTACTACTACTACTACTAGTACTACGCCTGACAGCAAGCAGCAGCAGCAGGTGTAGGTACACGGATAGATACAAGTTCACTATTTCACCTTTGAATCGGATTGCCGCTAAAATCCGCCACCTGAAGTGCCCGTAAATTCTTGATGCTCTCAGGAATGTCCGATATATCTGGAACCAACGAAAAACATAAATGGAATAAATCGCGACGCGAACGGTCGAAACGAACGCGTGAAACGTGTGACCTCGCCTAGTCAAATTCGATTCGATTTTCGTGGCCTGGCAACGATTTCCAACGATTCCCTCCTCCGCCTGCTCCTACCGCTTCCCGCTTTTCGTTCGTCCCGTTGTTCCCCACTGGAAAAATGAGCTGATCGTCGCTCGCGTGCTCGCGACAAATTTACGTCTAATTAATCGTGGTTCGACGTAACGTCGACGATTAATTAATTTACAACAGTCTGCTTCTGACGCACGACGACAAATTCCTTCGTGAAAAATAACCACCATCGTTGATCTAAACAACTGGCCTGCTGCTGCATAAAAATGCAGGAAGCTGCACGCTGTACCGTGGACGAAATAATAGCTAATACCTATCGTTATCACGCTACCATGTATCGCCGCGTATATACCTACGCCTATTACACTTATACGTATACATCGACCATCGTAATCGCCAGCTGCGTTTATGAAAGAATTTTTCGAGTCGATAAGATCGAGAAGTATACGAGGAGTACATACAAGTGAGTTACAGCACCGCTGAGTGTACTATAGCAGATAGTACGTACCATGATACGTATAACTGTGGTACACGCACGTGTCACCTGACGACGGATGCATCCGTGGTGTACGGAGATACAAACGCGCAGAAAACGGTTAAGGATGTATTGGCTATACAGTCAATCCCAAAAGTTTATGTACCTTAGAAAAACGCATTTCCTATAATTAAAAAAAAATCAGACGTTGGAAGAATAATGCTAATAACAAATAGCTACGTGCTAAAAAGTATAGAAGGAAATATCCAATTAAGTATTGACGCTGACGAAAATTTTTTTTTTTCAAACTTGCGAAAAATGTATCAAATAAAAGTTGTTTTCCTTCTAACTTCGATATTTAATGAGTTACATATGATTACTTGGCATTTTATTGATGTTGACAAAATCCGACCATCCCAGCGTCGAAANCCTCCCTCCTGTCCGTTCATCGGATCTTTTTGTTCCCGAAAGGATGTTAATGATGGGTGGTGAGCAAAGCTGTCTGAGGATATTTTATATGTACATGCAGACGACGACAACGAAGAGACGTCCTCCCGTCCGCCATCGTCCCCATAAATGCTCGGCTGGAGTTTCACCGGATAGGTGTACGTGCACGACAAGTATATTGTGTACGTACTTACTGTACCTACGTGTATGCATCTATATCGAATATGTGCCGACCTTTATCGATTGATAACCGCTTTCTGTCTGGCTGACTGCACGGTGCACACAGCACACCGTGGTGGACGTCGTGCATCGAGAAAACGATACTCTCATCTCATGGGTCCTTGCGGTTAAAATATCTCTGCTCGGGCGCTACGATTACAGTGGCCTACGTCGCCGCGCTCCCCGCCGTTAGATTCGATTTGCAGCGCAGACGGTGAACAATCGACGTTTCAATTGCCTTAAAATAATTAAAACGAGGTCCTACGCTTTCCAACAACGCTCCGAGTAACCACCGCCATCCGACGATGCGCTTCAACTATACTCGCTTTTTTCGGTTCTCGAAACAATCCACGCACTCGAGCAGGAATTACGCGAACTTATTGCGGAATCGTTTTGTTGTCTCCCACCGCGCGCCCTCTTCGCCGCGATAATTCGAATTTTTTAGATCCCGAGTTCCACCCTCCTCCTTCCTCCTTCCTCTTCTTCCTCCAATCGGCTTTATTCGTAACTTTACGTAACTTCAGTGACCATTACCGAATCTCGGTCGATCGCCACGCACGCTAGATCTATCGTACCGATTATTATCCATTTCTAATTAAACAACCGGTAAATAACACAGATCAACGGCGTCAACCACTGTAAACATTATAAATAGCGCGAAACATCCACCCTCGGCCTTTGCCTGATTTACGTATCTACTACGTACTACCTTGGAATAAGAGCAGGCAGCAGCGGCCTGTGGCCCGAGGCCGCGTGTATCGCACACTATTAGCAGTCGTGCACACGCACTAATTTTCAGCGAACAGGATTCGTTGTCACCGCAACGACCGTGGATCGTGGACATGAAAACCGAAAAATCATGCCGACGTGTTTTTGCACAATTTTTAATCACTAGATAAAAACGAGTAAGTAACCGAATGCCGCGAAGAATCCGGACGAGAAAACAAACACGCTCAGGAATTTAAAGACTTCCGTTATCTCTCTCTCTCTCTTTTGAACAGACTAATTTACGACGTAAACAAATTTAACACCACATTTTTCACCTATTTTTGGTATCGCCTTCATCTCGTTTCCCGCGTATCGTCTCCGCTTATCGTTTACACGTCGTGGCGGATCGAACGATCAGTGATCAAAGAAGAAGAAACGGTCGATCCGGCAATCGAACAACTTATAAAGTAGAACGTGCGATCCAATGCGCGCGTGACTCGCAAGGGATGTTTCTTCTTTCAACGTCTGTCGGATCGAGGACCTTCTTCCCCCGTCAAATTGATGAGATCGAATGTTAACAGATAATGAGGACCCAGTCGCGATACTTGCTCCGATCTCTTCTTCGATCAGAAGGAATCGTCGCGTTATAAAAGAATCGCGCGCAATGATCATCGCAGAGAAGCTTTGAGAAAGATCCGATTATTTTGAGAGGAGGAGAAAAGGTAGAGAGGAAAAAGAAACTACTACGCGAGGTACGTACGGGGCGGGGGTAGGGGCGCAGGTACACGCGCGCACGAGCTACGTTCTTATGTAACGCAATGTGCAACACGTGAAGCGATGAACTCGCTGGGATGTTCACAACCTGGAATTTTTTCTCTACCGGCGCGGTGTCGACGGGTGATTCATCCCTCTATTCTACTCTCTACATGTACACTGGCCCGGCCATGCGATACGTATCTAGTACATACATATCGTTTCTTGCAACGACCGTTGCAACGCTTAATACGATATATGATGCGATGTCATCGAGTCAATTGGTGCAACCGGCGCACCTGTGTCCGCTTGGCCATACCGTACGCAGCCGTAAAAAATGATAGTCGCCCGACACGATGCGATGGTAAGGAGAGAAAAAAGAAAGGGAATGAAATCTCTGGTTGCATTCCGATCGGTCGTCGCATCCTCTCCGTGCGTTGCACCGTCGTTGCGAGTGCAACGGCTCTCATTAATGGGGAGTAGGTTTCCTGAACCCGAACCTGTTGCTACAAACACGTATGCATGCAGCATGTACTACGCTACTACACATGCTGCTACTGTGTAAATGGATATATAGATCTATCTATCTATATCTATCGCACGCAAACATGTTTTCACTGTCAACCGCTGACGCTGACCGCCGCTACCGATTAGATGATGATGATGAGACCAGATTACTTATGCTTCCACGCGTAAACGCGCGACGCATATAAAAACGCATTGAAACTTGGTGCTCAGGACGACTACGACGCGACGATGAACCACGAGCGAAATTAGGGCACGCAACGAAGATCTGTGCGCGACATCGCAGTGCAAGCGTTCACACGCACGTGCGTGGGTGGCTTCGATCAAGTTTTCTATGAACTCGAACCTGTTGCGGTCGCGGTCGCGGTTTATATCTTCCACGATCACGCAACAAGTTTTCATTGGATCGCGTGTGGCCAGTTTCTTTCTTACGTTAGCCTCGCGTACGTATGCGAGTTGCACTTTTAGCACGATGCAGGTTTCCACGCGAACGACACGAGGAAATGATGCTGCGGCGACGGCAGCAACCGCGGTAGTCGGTTGAAAACCGGAGAAGAGACGGAGTAAAGCTTTCAGCTCTAACACTAACGCGATCTCGGAATGATACGCTCGCTGAATTTCGTACCGGAACCGGAAAACTCCAGGTACACCCCACGTCCGTAGGCGCGATCATATTAATTGAATGTTAAACTGCATGGCTTAGCGAGCTCCTGAATTTCGATTTCAAGCGTAGTTCTGGGACACACCCTCGACGCACGGGAGGAAACGGGTCTCCAGGTTTCCAGTTCAGATCAATTTCCACTCGACTCCACTTCTCCTACGGACACTCGTCCTTGTCCTCCTCGTGGCCAACGTGTCAGGCCGTTTAACGAGCGCGCGACCGCGAAGCGTCCGTCAAGTGCGCGAGAGTGCTATTCTCGAAGTTATCTCGCATAATAATAATTTGTAACAATTTTTGCAAATATCGGTTCAACTTGGCTTGCGTCCGTTCCCCTAATCGCGATTCTGTCTACTAACACGGTAACGTTAATTGATTTATCGAATTAAGTACACGACGCGCTCGCGTCCCCGCACCCCTCAACGCGGATCGATCACTTTTAAGCTTCAAGCTTTAACAATTAACCGCAGCAGTAGGTCGAACTACCTATACGAACGATTCTACGTCTCATTGTCGTCGCCGGTCTCGAATCTTTTCTCGGTCGCGTTTTAACGAGCGTCGACCGTCGCATCTCATTCGCCGCCGATACATATGACACGACTGCGACTCCGCCTTACTACTTCGAAGCCGCGAATGCCAGAGCAGAGGTATCACCGTCTCTATGCGCGTACACACACACACACACACACACATGCGTAACGTAACTCCGTTAGATGTGTTCTACACACGATGTAAATGTAACATGTAAATATGTATGTTAAACGTCCCGAATCTCCCGATTTCAGCTTTTCGAGTACATACGTACAGGTACGTGACCGTCCGTTTAAATAGTTGTTCAGAAGAGAACGGACTGAACAATGTGATTCGATCGAAGATAGAACACGATTCTATGATGCCAAGAAAAGTAGATCACTTTTGTCACCGGTTCGGTGGCTATAATTTGAAAAGCAACGCAGGGTCCAGATACTGGAAATCGTTTTTATATTCGATACCTACGTACAGCAGTCGATACCTTTACGTATCCCTTATTTTCGTACTCCAGAAAAATACCTTGCATTCGTACGCTATGTGTATGCAGACTTTTTGAAATTGTACTAATATTCATTATAAGTAGGATACGAGCGATAAATATTTACCGTAACGCGATTCATTTCTAATATCATTGTTACAAGTGATAGATCTTCTATAAAAAGTGTCTGAATGCCATGGTGGTAGTAACCGTGGTAGTTTCGCAGTGCACGTCCTAAAACCGGTCCACAGCGGTGGCGTACAAACGGCTAGTGTTCATTAGATATCAGAAGTTCTTCGATGCGGGAAACGGTTTCGTGGGGTTGACGTTAAGTAGTACGAGTCCGAGCACGTTTCTCTAACTGAAAACGTCCGGGAAGCCAGCATGTGTACGTGTTTCGCGTAACCTAATTGTACCGCCTTATTGAATTTCCATCGGCGACTTGGTATGCGATGCATACCGCCGCTGCGCTGCCCTCACCCCATTGCCACAATACGTTGATCATCGCGAGACGGTTTCCCAGCCCCGATGAACCGTTTGTTTCTCCGCGACGCGTCGGGACGTGTGTTTCAATTTACATTTGTTCTTCACGTCATCGAATTAGAAAACGATTAGCAATAGGCCGTCGCTTCTTAATAGGGTCGAGCGCGATGTTACATACATAATTGAAATCTGTCAATTTTCGAACTCTCGATCTTCTTTCGACGTCAGCCTCTGTCACTGTGGACCGTCTACTGTGTCTACTGCCGCCGCCGCCGCCGCCGCCGCCGCCGCCGCCACCGCCACCGTTACCGAGTCCACGGCTCGATTCTAATGAGATTTAAAGCAGGAAGACCATCTAGTTACTAGTATCTGGTCTAGTCCATCTCTACGTGTGTATAACTGCGTATACGATGTACGCGACGGCTGTAGATACGTACATATGTATGTGGTACGCTGTGTACGGTCAGGTCTTCTGTGTCCATAAACAAATGTCACAGTCTTCGTGTAATCCTACCTTCCCTTGCGACGTATCGATGACATCTCGGTACTGGCATGACTCGGCTAATTACCGTCACTCACCTTTATTAAACAAAGGCCGTTCTTAATAAGTCACGCGCGATATGCCACACGTTTTCCAACACGCTGAAACCTGGCACGCCGCTGCTTTCCTTCGACTCTCATCGTCGGTCACGTTCCATCTCTAGACTAGATATACTAGGTATCTATCGTAGGTTATACGTGCATATAATATATCTATCTAGATATCGTGGTATAACCGCGCGACGATTAACGCGCGACGATTATGGATCGTCGTTTTGCGTCAATAGGAATCATGATCCATGGTTCGTCCGTCGCTTGAGCCTGTCACGAGTAATTTGTACCATGCGACCGATGTCAAAATTTCAAATGCGACCTCGGGAATTTTGCCGATTAACCCTCGACTCTTTGATCTTGTAAAGATTCGGGACGATACCCGGATGACCCCGGCTATCCACTACCACCATGAGTAGTATCGGATTAATGGCATCTACTTACTTACGTAGGTACTCGCGAAGATCTGTGTAGATTTCTTTTGCACAGAAGTCGCCGCGATCGAATTTATTAATATTAGACGTTGCAAAGGCGACAGCGAGGAAGTCCTGTCGGTCTCTGAATGACGGCGGCGACAGCGGGCATTGTCCCTGAGCTCGACTTGCAAACGTTGTCGTCTTGACTCTTGACTGTTAAACGGAAGATCGTGATCCGGCAGCAATAATTCTGTTACTCGATCTTCGTTCGTTATTTAATCGTGAAAACTGCGTGGGTTGCCGTTAGTGGTTTGCGTACTATACCGCGCGCGAAATTAAACAGCCAGAAGAGGCAAACGCGAACGAGTGATTCCGTTCGAATCGTTTCGAAAAGAATCTTCAGATTGAAACGTCACGAACCCACGAACTACTCTCTTTCTCCTAACAGCGCAAACCCAAATCGCAAACCGCACTCCAGCACTCATGTACGTATCGACATTTGTACTTGGAAATTGGTAGGCACGGTTTAACAACGAACGAGACTCCTTCAATTGAAATGCAAAGAGATCGTCCGTGGAATCCTTGTCGTGACAACGTTGAATGTGACCGCGAGAAAAAAATATTTTCTTACAAGTACTCGGGTGAAATTCCTCGGTGACTGAATTCATAGTTCTACTTTCACACGAGCCGCGTAAGTACACGTGACAGAATGTGTTCATCAATGTCGTCGCGTGCGAATAGAATTTATTGTTCGTTCGTGTCGCCTCGCGGGCTACCCACGCGCTGTTCCGTGTGAATAGGATTTCCACTGCATCTTTCTCAAGTAAATGCTATGCTGTCGATCGATGAACTTAACTGTTACACGTCGTATTGATTATAAAATGGTAGCATCGTCGACAGAGCGATTCGTGAGAAATCGTGAAATTGGCAGTGGAATGGTAACGCCTGTATCGTTAATGTATCTCGTGAAGAAAAAGTTATTCTGGCCAGCAGGTTTATCACCAACAGATGAGAATAGTACTTATGATACTGTACTGATTATGAAACGATTAAGGATGAGTTTGCACATGACTTTAAGGCCTGTGATACTGAGTTCATATTGAAATAAAATAAGGGGGTCCCCAGACGCCCGGACGCGCAAGGCTACAGCGAATCGTGAACAATCGATAGCTCTATACGTAGCTCGAAATAACTGCTGGACGATCAGCGGCTACTCAAACAACTTTATCGCTCATTCAGCTGTCCGACATTTCAGAATCAGCTTCGATGATCATCACCGAGGGAAACTTGGCCGGAGCACCAGAAAAAATAAAAAGACTACAGGGGAAAGATTCCGGGCAAATTCTACGGCTGCTGAAAGTTAACACACTGGAAATCTTCCTCTTCTCTCGCCTCGGCCCCCGTAGGGATCTACGGCAACACGATGAGAGCCGACTGTTCCCAAAGGGCAAGCGATGAAAACTAATTTCCCGAGGAAATTTAATTATTCCACAGAGAAAAATATGATTGAATCACACCATCGCGTCTCGCGTCTCATCGCATGGCGAAAGCCATTGTGTGTCGTTGACCGACACAGATATCTCGACCATACGCGTCACGGCTGACAATAAAGGACCGTCCTTGAGGAGACAGCCCCTCTCGTAATATCGTCCGATAAGGATCGTGATAGAAATAAAAGGAACGGTGAAATATTCCCTGGACAGCGTATAGGTGCAGCTGGACTCTTTTATTGTTCGTTTGATTAACGTGTAACTCGGATCTTAAGAAACGAATTTACGAATAGAAGCATCGATCGACGAATTGATCAGGACGATTTACTTGTAGCGAACGTAATTGACGGCAGCCACGATATCGAATGAACTATAATGAAGCAAGAGCGATCAAAGCAAAGATCGTTCCATGAAGAAGATGAAGAAACTTGGATCGCTCTTTCCTCGTTGTACCCTTGTTGTCTATCCTCGAATTACAGCGGTTCACCGACCACTTCCTACTCTTTTCGTTAGATTAGTCTACAGCGAGCGGGACGAGCATAAGGTAATAAACGTAAAAACGGACAAGTGGAACGACACCGTGGAGAGTAAGTAAATCCAGCAGTCAGTGAGAAAGGAAAGGCTTCCTCTTTCTCCTCTCACGGGCAGAACAACTTAGCGAGGCGGGAGGAAAAAGAACTGAGCGGCGACGTCTCAACGTTCCGAGTCACGAGTCACTTGCATCGTTGTTATTGTTGGATAGAAAGTAAACGAGGCGCCGCCGTCGCCGCCGTGCCGTTCACTACTCACTACCGCGAGTACTTACCTGCAGGTATTTTCATCTTCAGAACCAAGGAACGAGCGCGTAGATTCTTTACATTCGACGCGACACAATCAGAGATACGATCACGATCCTGTTTCTCGCGAACGTACGATTCGAGTTGGTCCCGATGCTCAATACCATAGTTACAATTTCTATTATGAACGATAATTACAATGGTACGTAAAAATGATACGACAGTATAATTGGGCAATAGGCACAACTTGGTCACGGAGGTGCAGAATTTATTGTCGCATTCGACTCGAAACTCGAAAGAGATTCGATTAATAATAATTCGCCCCTCGTTTATTATTTGCAATCGCTGGATTTTCTCGCTGACATTTCTCTGACAACTCTAACGTCTCGAAGCCTGTGTGATACGTAGTATGTAACTACCCAAGTAAGTACATAATAGGTAACACGTGCTTGGTTCGAAGTCGGCGACGGGCGCTGCACACTGGTTGCTCGCCGTCGTTGCGACGCGACGGACGAAAAGAGTAAGAACGATCACGAAGAACCGACTTGTGAGAGAAAGAAGAATGGTGAATCGTTGGAAAACGATTGTCTCGCGATCAGCCGTGGCGCGGGTCCCCAAAGAGTCCCCAAAAGACCGCGAAACAAGTAAATGTATGTAATAAAAATGGTAGTGGAAAGTAAAAAAAGTAAAGAAAGAAAAATATCATTCACCGTTCCGGGAAACGTCCAGCTCCACGAGGTTTTCGAAGTTCTGGATATCTGGTGGCAAGCGGTGGATTTCATTGTCACTCAAGCCGAGTTTTCGTAGCTTCTGTAGCCGAAAAAAATTCTGAAACGAGAGAAATCGAAATGAAGCGAGAAATGAGAAGTGAGAAATGTGAAACGAGAACCGACCAAGATAATAAAAGTTAGTTTGTCAAACGGTACATGTACCGAGCTGTAAGCGTTCTTCGTAGTTACATTATTATAGCATTATAGCCGCCGATGGATGGAACGATACGTCACGATGGGCAGAAGACGGAAAGAAGAAAAGAGGAGGAACGAGAGAAGCGAGAGATGGTAAGTAAGGGAAGAGGTAAGTAGTAGTAGAGGTAAGGAAAGAAGAGGAGATACGCCGCCGCCGCCGCCGCCACCACATTATTGTAAAACGTAAAGTTGGTGCGCAGCGTTATTTATCTACGTATTTAACTACCTTAGGTAAATCGCGAATGTGATTCGCGTCCAAGAGTAACTCCTCCAAGCTTCTCGAGTAACGTAAAATATCGTCGGGTACGGACGGCAGAGAGCAGTGACGCTTGTCAATGTATTCCACCTGCCTGTTACACCCTTTAAAAATCGGAATGCAGCGGAACATGGTATCCTTTTCACTATTAATCACGTTAAAACAGCACCGAACATAATTGTCTCGTTCGTTCGCGGCGGCACACGCTGCTGCTACTCGCACATATTCGTCGTCGATGAGATAGATTAACAGAACTAGTAGAACGAAAAGAACGACGACGACGAGTGGCACGGACACACACTCACGCCCTGCTCGGCTTTAAACGCGTTCACGGCTCGGCTCACGGCTCCTCACCTCACCTCACCTTCTTACCAGCAGCACCACGGTTTCTGGCTTGTTGCGTGTGCCTCCGCTTCGCGTCTGACGTCATCACGTCTACGAACCACCACCGATCACGTTCCTCCAAACTGACACGAAACATGCACGAAACAGTGCGAACGAATACTGACGAATACGACGCTTTGAAAATACGGTTTCCCCTATTCCTGTTCCCAATACCCTACCATGGTTCATCTATGTAACGTCCATACAACTTAGAGCATATACTATATGCTCTAAGGCATACATACAATGTATGTACTTGAATGTACACTGACCTCAAACGATTTAGGGAGGGGGCACGTGGCGCCACCTAGCGTTTACGACCACGAACCCGCTTGGTTCCAATATCTGCGGCAATATTGGCTTAGAAGGAAATGGGATGTATCTTAGGCTTAGAAGGAAATGGAACGCATCTCAAGTTTAGATGGAAAGTGCGCTCAGCATCTCAAACTTATTATAGATGCAAGTTGCGCCACGCATCTCAGGTTCAGATAAAAGGTGCGCCCCGCATCTCGTGAACACTAGATGGTACCACGCACAGCTCCAAAATCGTTTGAGGTCAGTGTACACACAATATATACATTCTCACGTACGCACATACATAGAGCTAACCGAAGTGACATTAGCTACAAGAACCAATGACAAGAGCAGAACAACTCTCGCACTCTCCCTTCGATGTTACCAGAGTGGCTGTTACCACCACCACAAAGAATGAATTTCCAGCTTTACTCTGGCCGTGTAGTAACTTTCGCTTGTTCGGATTGACACGCATTATCGCATACATTGTAGTATGCTTTTGATTTCACTTCCGTCTGGTCATTTATGCAGCAGTTATATGGCGACGACAATGGGTGATTCGTGTCGATGCATGTGCCGTAGCTTCTTATTTGTGTGATATCGGAATCTTTCGGGGCTATTCCTTTTTTTAAATACCGTCGTTTTGTTAGTCCGTTGTCAAGTGGATACATGAGAATTTGTTGGGAAGAGTGTACGTGCGACAACGATAAATTTGAAAACATAAGCGTGCCTTGTGTCCCCGACCCTCTTATCCGAGAATAATGGCTGAAGTCGAAGGGAAGAAGCTCACCGAACTACGAGTCATAGACTTGAAAACGGAACTCGAACGACGTGGGCTAGACAAAACTGGCAATAAAGCGGCTCTCCTCGAGCGTCTCTCCAAAGTAAATTTTACTTACATGCTTTCAATTGTTCTCATTATATAGTTGCCCGTTAACAGTTCGTATCGTATTCAATCGCCATTTCAACCCTTTCGATAGTCTAATTAATGATCAATCGGTTTCGACAACGACGATGACAACGGTTACTCTCGACAACTTGTAACAAATTGTAAGCAATCGACGCGATTCCTCATCTAATTTGTCATCATGATCCCTCCATCACATTTAATGATAATACGTCGATCGTCGATTAAAACAAACTACCGTAGCATAGGTCAGCATTCTAAATAAGATAACAATTTTACTTTTAATTTGCCAAGGCTATAACCGACGAAGGCCAAAATCCCGACGAATACTTGATAGTACCATGCGGCGGAGTATCTAAGAATACTCCACGAAAGAATAGCGGTATGTGTAACTTATAATATGTGTATTGTTGAAATCAACGTCGAGACGGAATGAATTAAAAGTTAACGGGTGTTCGTATTAAATGTTTTTTTTTTTTTGTTTTAGTAACGGGTACAACGAATCAAGATGACTGCTCTACCGATCTGGTAGAGATTCAAAAGGAAGAAAACGTAGATCTCACGTCTGATAATAATGAAATGAAAGTTAAAGTGGAACAGGAATCTGTCGTGGAAATGGAGACAGCAACGACGAAGATAGAGGTAATCTTGTGACAATCCTGGATGCTTGTTCGACAAAAATCACACGAGTATTCCGCGATGACGAAAGGAGTGGGTGTTTCAGGAGACCCAGAACGATGGACAGACTAATATAGGAGAGAAGGAAGTGGATCAACAGCAGCAGCAGCAGATCAAACAAGATGTTAAGAACCATTTGAATAAGAATTCTGCCGAGAGTACGCCCTCAGCTATGGACAAGAAAGTCGAATCCGAAGCAGCGTCGGTGATAAATCAAATTTCGATCGTCGAAGCTAACGGTATCGACAACGAAGATTCCATAAATTTGACCATCGGGGAAGACGAGGAGAATCTCCTTGCTGAGGAGGTAATGAATCTAATTCAATTGCTAAAATGCTTACGATAGTTTCGTATCCATTTACATATTTCTTTTTCTTTTCTTCTTTATTTCGTAGACGGAGTCTCACGAGAGGCGTAAGGGTAAGTTTTTCCACGTACTGAATCTCGTAATATTGTACATACATGCGTAGATGTAAGATTTCAAAGAATAGATGTAGCACTAGTTTTGTCGACGGTCACGAGTAAGTTGTTTAAACGTGCGGCGGCGTCAAGAGATCGTCAAGGGATATCTACAGTTTATCTACGTGCAAAAAATATATCTACGCCCATCCATAATTAGCGAATTGAAGCGTGCTGCTGCTGCTGCTGCTGCTGCTGCTGCTGCTGAACGTTTCAACGAACTCGCATTTCGTGCTTCCGTCTACGATTCGTCCGATCTTCGAGCTTCGTAATCGCAAACAACCACGCATATACTGAGGAGATGCGAGACAACCGCTTGCCGCGTGGACACGATAACGTGCGCTCCCACACAGTAGCACGCCACACGACGTTCATCGAGGTTCATCGACTAGCAAACAAACCGACGCACATTTGCAGACGTCCGTCTCACGTTGGACGGTCAGCCGTGCGTCGACCACGTACACATCGTATAGAGAGTTCCTCTGATAAGTGCTAGTTTATAAGTTAGTTAACGCTAGAGTTTGATATAAAGTTACATTTAATTCTACCTAAGCGCATAGAGCATCGTTGGATCATTTTGGCCGCTCCGCGAATCATACGGACGCAAGAGGACTCAAGCGTTTATCAAGCCAACGATCTCTGCCCACATACGATCGATGCACGTTGCACCATGCACCGTTGTTCCGTTCCGGTCACACACCGATCAATGCCGTCGAACCGCAAGCTTCGAAATAGTTTCATCATTATCGTTCGACAGATATTTTACACGCGACAAATATTTTTCGCGGCACATTGCCGTGCACATTATCGTCCCCCCGTGCCCGTTTCCCCTCGCCCCTCGTCCTCCCTTCCCTTCTCTCTACCGACTACTTCTTTCTCCTTGCATTGGATCTCGTTCCTCGGATTGACAGAGTCTTCCTCAGCAGTGTGAAACGGCACAAAGGTAAAAAAAGGTTAAAAGTCGTTAAAACGTCGTTGTCGAGAAACAATAAGATTAGGGTCGCTACGGATTGCACACAATCGAAGAGCGAATTCGTACGATCATGCGATCCTCGTGATAATTTACCTCGCGCGCGCGCGCGCGCGCGATCTGTTAGTGGCTCGGGGAAAAAAGTTCTATGCAGAAAATACAGGCCACTGAGCAGCTGTGAAGTGTTAGGGAGGGAGAAGAGATCTGGCTTCGCAGAAAGTGACTATGCTACCTTGATTGTCTCTGCAGATGGAGGAGAAAAGAAGAAAGTGGAAGAAAACAAGAAGGGAGACTCTAAAGGGAGCGGTAGAGCAGAAGCCGGTGCCAACAGCAGCAAGGAAGGGACGACATCGGGTGGAAACGTCGGGACGAAGAGCAAGCAGGACGGTGGTGGAGACGGAAGCAAGAGGTTGGTCTCTCATTGCTAAACGTGGTTCACACACAGTGGTTCGACAACGAAATATCACACGACTCTATATATACGCTAGCGATGCTCTTCGGCCGCATATGATACGATACCAGGATCGAAAAATATCGTTCGAACAATGGACGTCCCAAGCTGAATTAATCTGCATCAAAATCGCACGCAAGATTACTTTATTCCCTTTTCATTTCGAATCGCATACGAACTTCTTTTCCGCTCTCGTATGTTTAGACTGTAACTCCCAACTGTCTGACCCCCTCCCCCCCCCCCGCTCTGGAAAGTATGTTAAGAAATCAAGAAATTGGCTAGCAAACTTAACCAGTTAATCACCAGCTATATACACGTTGTTACCCGTAAACGAATATTTTTCGATGAAGTGCACACTGGTACACACCTACTACATCTGCGATGAAACCGATTTCCATACGTTCATGAAGATATTATCATCGTTTATCGAGAAATCGAAAACTGAGAAAAAAGAAAAGAACAGCAGTTTCATCGAGAGCACGGTAGCGCAAGATCGTTGGTACACATCTCGAGATGTACCATCACGCTCGACAGACACTTAGGCTTGTATGCCCTGACGCGACATCGAGCAATCACATTGTTCGTCGATGAGACGCGCTGCTATTTTGTATCACGTATGTGTCCATATTCGTGACACGACCATGAGAAACGAGCATCAAGCCCATCGGGAAGAACTACACTGTGGAGATGCTTCGTTCACTTGGAAAACTTGTTGATCGAACAGGAATACGCAGTTGGATATATATTTCCGGCACGGCGGACGAACAGCGTTTGAACGATGATAAAGTGGAAGACTTGGCCGCAGTGAAAACGATAGTAATTTCAGTAAACTACGATGCTGCGATCGACGTTCAAATGAATACCAAAACCAATATCTAATTATCATTGCCGTTACGGTCGTTTCTATTATTATTGCTGCTGCTGTTGCTACTACTGCTGCTGTTGCTGCTACTACTACTAGTACTACTGCTACTACTGCTACTACTACTACTACTACTACTACTACTACTACTATTACTACTACTATTACTACTACTACTACTACTACTACTACCACCACTACTACTACTACTACTACTACTGTTATTGTTATTATTGTTGTTGTTATTGTTGTTGCCTATATTGTTAACAACGATGATGATGGTGACGACGACGGCGATGATTATACGATTATAGTCACGACGTCGATTGTGACGGTGACGAAGCCAACGATTACGATGTTGATAGCGATATGTAATTAGAAAGATAAAAAGATTGCTAGCCAAATTTTATGCGCTTAACATAGTTACAGAGGTACCCGGATCGAGACCTCGAGACAAAAGATTATTATTTCTAAAATATTATCTCTCATACGTATCGAGAGTACAACGGGAACGGCACGATCGACAGATATAACGAAAATGATTATTCTTTTTCAGCGCGGAGTCCAGTGGCAAGAGTCAAAAAAGAGATGACAAAGGTAACTGTTCGATCCACCAGTTAGATCATCGCCCGGTTCATCTTAAGTCTTACTTTATCTTGAATCGTCGTGTCTCTTCGTTCCGCAGATAAGAAGACCTCGCAAGTCAGTCCCGCTAACGCGAGCAGCAGAAACTTGTGGGTATCTGGATTGTCTTCGAGCACTCGTGCGACCGATTTGAAACAAATATTCTCCAAGTACGGGAAGGTGATCGGTGCTAAAGTGGTTACGAACGCAAGAACGCCTGGTGCGAGGTGTTACGGATACGTGACCATGTCCACGAGCGACGATGCCGCAAAGTGCATACAACATTTGCACAGGACCGAGCTTCATGGACGCGTGATATCTGTAGAAAAGGTAGACACGCGCGAGAACCAGAGATTATTATCTTCGTAGTTTCTACCATCGCCGCTTTCTCTCATTCCCTCCCCGCTTTCATCGTCGTCGTTGTCGCCGTTCGTGTCATCGTTGCGTACGCGTTTATCGTTTTGCGTTGTGTTCGAAGGCGAAAGGCGACACTCAGCAGAGTCATATGCGTAAACGAGATACGACGAACGGAAAATCTGAGAAGAAAGACGAGAAGGAGAAGACGACGAAGGATAATCACGAGATCGGCGGCGGTGATCGTAAGGACAAAGAAGTGAAAAAGGAGACGGATGACAAGGCAGGATCCGAAGCAAGTGAGTGGAATAATTTTGTGTGCGTGCGCGCGCGCGCGTGCGTGGACGTGGGCGTGCTATGGAACGATGTTTGAACGGTGCCAATTGTAACAGCGAAAAAGTCGGATGAGACGAGCACGAACGAGAACGTCGATAGTAAAAAATCAACAGCAGAGACCCAAGAGAAAAAAGATGATGCCTCGAAGGACAACGATAGTCGGTCTACGAAGTCCACCAGCAAGAAACCAGAGAGTGAAAGAGGAAGACGCGACGAGAAGAGAGTTCGATCTTGGGAGCATCATCGGTCTCATTCCAGATCCCGTAGTCGCGAACGACGAAGGCGCGACGACGTCTTAACGTTCGCGAAGATCAGGGTAAGGACGATCGTGTTTCGGCGTCGCGCGCTATCGCGGGCCGTGAACGGCTGCAGGAAGTGGGCCACAGTAGCAGCAGACGAGTTGACAACGGCGGCGGTTGCGTGGCGCCGCGGTAATGTTGTTTCAGGAGGAGCGGGAGAGGCAGAGGTTACGCGAAAGAGAGAGGATGCTTCGCGAAGAAGAACGGAGGAGAAGAGAGGACATGGAGCGGCAGCGGGAAGTGGAACGTAGACAAAGGGAAGAGGCCGCGCGGCTGGAAAGAGAGCGAGAGAAGTTGCGAAGAGAAAGAGAACGGATCGAACAAGAAAAGGCTGAATTGCTTCGGTTAGAACGAGAACGACAGAAATTGGAACGGGAGAAATTGGAGCGGGAAAGACTGGAGTTGAAGAGGCAACAGATGCGGCTGGAGGAGAGCAGGCGTGCTCCGCCACCGCCGTCCATCAAGCGATCCTCCAGCGATAGAAGGGATCCGAGGGACTTGTACGTGGAACCGGACAGGAAACGTATGACCACTGAACATAGTCGAAGACACAGTCCCGAAAGAGTGAGCGATAGACGTGGTGAAATCTTAGATCGCGTCTCGGACAGACGACTAGACGCCTCACCGCCGCCTGCTCGTTACGAGTCTAGTAGGTAAGAGACACGATACCGCGCAGTCTGATTTTTGTTTTTCATTTCGAAGCGAACGAGATCGATCAAATGTTCCCAAACCTTCCGCAGATCCGCTCAAGATTTGGGTTTGAAGAAGGAGTTTAAACGTAGCAGTGACTTTACCTCGCGCAGCAGCCGTCCAGATAGCTTTTCCGACGTGTCCCGTGGCCGAGAAGTGATCGTGCGTCGAGAACCTCTCGGCACGTCAGCCTCGTCTATTGATCCTCGACAGGTTAAAGAAAGGTAAAAGGCAAACTAATTAACATGAGAGAGAGAGAGAGAGAGAGAGAGACGATTTGTACAAATGAAATTATGTTGCCTCGTTAGATACGAACGTACAAGTACGACCAGTTATACACGCGATCGCGATGTTCGACGTTCCGAAGCGGATACCCACAGAAGTTCCAGGGATAGTCACACGCGATACGGCGACAGCTTTAAACCGACTAGTTCCAGCACTCCACGTTAGTAGAAAATTTATTCGTACACACTCGAATGATTTTTACACGGCTTATAAGTACTAGATATATGGTTAATGATGTTCCATCCCCCCACTTCTGTAGGCGATAGTCGTTACGTTGAAAGTAACCGTACGACCAGCAGTTGGCATTCCGGGCCACCGTCTACGAAATCGTTCAACTCCGTACCGAGCAGTGGCACGCGAGATCCGCGGAACGAGCCGTCTAGTTGGAGTTCCAGGTCTTCCGATAATGTGAACAGGTAACACAATCACGCGGGTATCGCTCAGTCTCGAATTCAACGAGCTGCTGCAACGACGACGACGACGACGACGACGACGACGACGACGACGACGACGACGATAAAAAATAAAACGGCGCATGAAACGCACGCTTTTACGAATCGATTTCAGATGGAGTAATTCGAGTAGCATGGGAAACACGTTACGACATCCGGTACCACCGACCTATCAAAGCGGTCCTATTCAATCTATGGGACTGACGGCACCAGGAACAGCACCTTCCTACGATCGTTTCGACCCGTACAAATCGTCTATGCCGAGTATGAGAAAGTATTGATCTCGTCTTGCTACTGCTGCTTCGTACCACCGTAGCGAATAAATAAAGTGGAATACGGACTTGAAAATGTTCTTGAATTTTTGCGGTTGAATTGATGCGAGGTATATACACACCCGCGCCCACACGTACACACACACGCACACCATACTATTCGGACAGATCACACAACACGTTTGGACGATTCTATAATGGTCACGACGCGTCACCAGTGTAACGCATGTTTCATTACTGTAAAAGATTGTTGTAATTCCAGTTGTTGTTGTTGTTGTAAGTGGAGAACGCGAACAACTTCAAAATATCTTGGGACCGATCTTTGAAGCAGTAGTTCCCCGACTAAATTGTAACCACCGTCTTAAACCTGCGCAGGAAAAGGCGATCGTACATTGAAGAAATCTTTTTTTATCCTCCATTTTAATATATTGAACTTTGATGTAAATTTCACGCTATCCTCTCCAGCCATCATTTCATCATCATCATCATTATCGTCGTCGTCATCGTCATCGTCGTCGTCAGACTCGTATCGTGGTCGATGGAAACGGCGAAGAGTATGCGATACCGCGACTATTTCTACTACCAGTACATACTCGCGTGGGGTAGTTCATCGTGCGGTATTTACTCTAACGGCATCGTATTGAAGAATAGAGGTATAATCGTGTTATCGTGGCTGGATTGTGGTTCATGGAGCACACGAGATCTATACGAAATGTACGATTGCGCAATACCGAAATGTGATGACTTTTTGTACATTTGTTAATAGACACAACCGATACGATTGATGATTTTAAAGATCCGTAGAGGAATTACCTAGACTAGGGGCAAACAGTTACTCACTCGTCCGTAATACATTTGTTACGCTCGTATGTTACAACGTTGCATGGCGTACCGAGTAATTATTCAGAATTTATTTCGGACGACGACGACGACGACGAGGATGCCGTTCCAGGCGGCGCCGCCGCCGTCGCCGCCCATTAATTCAACGTTGTATTCTCATAAGATGATAAAACATACGGCATAGCGTCGCGGTAACTACGCGTATTGTAAAACAAACAATTCTCATTTCTCGTAGAAATAATGCGTACACATTCTTTAGTAAGGATATGGACTGAACAATTTGTATATTGAATTCCACGAAACAGATCCACGTGCCCGATCTGTAACTTGCGAGAATGGAACATGAGATGATATGCGAGGCACACGTATCAAGTTTCAATGTAGCGACAACAGTTACGATACAAATAAATTTATGGCAAAGTATATGTGTTCAAGTTGTTCGTATTCGATGTTTTAAATTTCTGCCCTTGCATCTTCACTAATTATATATTTAAATTACAGCGTCATCGTGCGCTGCGATGAATCGACAGCGACACGCGAGAGCGAGAGAGGTGTAGAGGTATAAGAGAAAAGAGAAAGGAATAGATATCAGTGGTGGAGTAGAGACTAGAGGTAGAGGAGGCAGAACACTTTCCCTCGGTCGAACGGTCGAACGAGTCAAGGATGGCGACCGCTACGATCGGAACGAAGAAAGGAGAAAAGATTGAGAGAATGGGAGAGAGCGAGGGGGTACGCGATTCCATCGAGAACAAAGTGTGTCGAGGTCTTCTCACGGACAGTCATCGGTGGCCAAAGTTCGTTTCGTTCTCGCACAATCACGGTTCCGACTCTCTTCTTCCTCCGTTAAAATCTTTTTATCTACTCCCACTTTTCTTCTGCTTTTCCTCTTCCTCCGTCGTGGGGGCTCTATACGTTTTCTGTTGTCGATCTCTCCTTGCCGTAGCCGAGCGTAGCCAAATAGAAGGCGATGGACGTTTTTGCCGGTAGTCTCGCGGATGCGACGACTTTATTGAAATAGTTGGAGGCGGTGTGTCTGATCGCGGGTGGTGTCAGTTGTCGCGACGATAGAAACGTGTGGAATGTCTTTGAAAAGGATCAGTTAATTTCATTCCTCTGGATGTTCAGGATGCCGTTGTTCACCGTAGCTTTAAGTAAGTGATGTATCGTAAAACGTACATACATACGAGTGGTGTATGATCTAGCTCTGGCGAAAAGGAGCTCGAAATTCAAAATCGTTCGCGGAGAGAATCCGAAACGTGTATCATGCGTTCGCATGCAAAGAGAGCACGCACACGCGTCGTATTCACAACGAACAAAAGTTTCACTACGAAACAAGATCTGTACACGACGAAAGTGATGAGTACAGATATCGAACAAAATTCAGTTCGACTTTTAACGTTGCATCGTTGAGCCGTGCATAGAACCGACACGATGAGGGTTCATCAGCGAGACAACGCACACAGGAAAGAGTATCGAGGCACGAACACGAATAGACCGCGTCGATAGAACGCGTGAGTAAAACAGTAAAAACTCGTGATAAACTACAAATTATGTTTTAACGTGATACGGTAGTAGTTAAGCTCTTCCTCGAGCCATAGATTTTCTTCTTCGGCCGATTGTTTCCGTTTCATCGCGTGTGTACGTGTGCCGTAGGCATTCGTTGGTACGCATATCTATCGTCGTCGTCCTCGTCGTCGTCGTCGTCGTCGTCGTCGTCGATGAATCAGTGAACGGAAGAAAGGCGCGCTTTCTCGCCGAGCTAACTTTCACCATCGATGAAGAGTCCGTATGTGCGACACCGACCGATACACCAAAACGGTTTCTTACTCACTACCGTCGTCATTGTACGATAAACTGTGCTTGCTTTCTTTCTCTCCTTTCACGTTAGACGAATTCACGACGAAAGAAGGAAGAGATGGGATACAAGTATTATAGAAGAAGGAACAATGATGGGCTTCTCGAGTTAACGCTTCGTTTTTCTTCGTAAACGTCTTTTTTTAATGACAACGGGACGCTGATATTTTTCTTTGTCTCGCAATTGTTGTACTCTGGTTACGGGTATTCGTCGCGAATCCGCGAAACTTAGAAACCGCGCGTTACTCTGTCTATATAGGTCGCGCATAACGCACGAAGAATTGTGAAAAAGAATTTGACTGAGCGTTTGTCTTTCAGAATTGTGCACGCTATGGAGTTTGCTAATATGTTGCTGGTGTTACACCGAGGAAATTGTTGCGGCGCGTTATCGTCATCAGCGGGGGACCGGTAAGTAGTAATGAAATGCCTAAACGTCGTTGCGTTGCATCGATCTCCACCAGAAGAGAATGACACCCACGCGATACAGTACCCGACAGATACGGAATATCCGAAAAATTTTTAATGCCGCCGCCGCCGATGCGAGGAAGACGGCCAGAAGCGAGATGGGACAGATCCGTGTCTCCAGTGATGATGATTCGTAGGGACACGCACGTCCGACCTTACGTAAGATTAGCGAAAGTGGAACAGGAACGAGAACAACCGGATCCGTTGGTCGCGATCACTGAAACACTCGGCGCTTTAAACACCGTCGGTAGTTACATCGTGAACATGACCAGAGGCGTCGAGAATTCGAGTTATCCACCGAAGGAATTGCCATCGGCTATATACACCATCTCCAAGAACATTTTAGGTACAAACATTTTACGCCGCCACGCTCACGGCCAGACAGCATTCTTTCATTTTCGCTTTCATTTAATCCCTGTTAATTTTCGTTCAGGACGTAACGTGACGGATAGCATCGCGCCGTTGGTCCGAGGCGTAGCTATGCCCTTGCGAGCGACGCCGACCGGAGCAGCGGCGGCAGCGGCGCTCGGCAGTTCCGATAACGTAAATCGGATTGACGACAGGGAGAAAGATTCGGCTCCGAGCGGGTGCATCACCGCCGACGGTAACCCCGGCAAATGCCAGGATTTAAGCAACTGTCCTCAGTTGTTACTCGATCTCACGAAATTAAGGCAGTCGTTGTGTTTCAAAAGCCTGTTCGTACCGGGCGTTTGTTGTCCATTGACAAATAGACCCGACACCGACTCGGATCTTAGGTAAGCAAGCCCGTCGACTTCATCAAATAACATCTTAGAGTATTTTGGGTGCTCCGCGCGAAATACGCGCGAGCTCTACGAATCGCGAACAACATTTGATTCGCGGGACATTAAATCTTCAGTCCGGCACCCGGCGCGAATCCAATATCATCAGGACAGGAGGCAGGAATTCATTCGTCACCACCGCCTCGACCATCACCACCGGTCCGGCCGACGAAACCGCATCAGACTCCTCGACCGATTCCATTGTTTCCAATAGCGATAGCGATTTCCTCCTCGTCTACGACGTCTTCGCCAATAAATCCTGTTCGACCGTTGACCACCCCGACCACCGAATTAGTTGCGACGCCACGGCCTTCCGTCGATCCGTCGACGACGAATCAGGCCAACGGTTTCATCGACAATAACTTTATACAAGACGACGAAGGTATGTAGGCTGTACATGTGTAGAAATAAATCAAACGCAGACAAAACGATCAACGATCGTCGGCAGAATGCGGAGTAAGAAACTCGGGCAAATATCGAGTGGTGGGTGGAGAAGAGGCCCTTCCAGGACGTTGGCCTTGGATGGCAGCGATATTCTTACACGGATCGAAACGTACCGAATTCTGGTGCGGTGGATCGCTCATCGGATCACGATTCATTCTGACCGCTGCTCATTGCACGCGCGATCATCGACAACGACCGTGAGTCAATCGTAATTCGTAACAACTGCTGTTGCTGCTGCTCAACGTATGTGAACGCGTCAGGCAAATATATTTTCTAATTCGAAGCCAGTACGAATAGTGCATAAAACCGAATACGTATATACGTGTACTACGTAACGAATTCATTAAAAACGCAAACAAGTGTCCACGAGTGTTTTGAGCGGTAGTAGCGCACGACTCTTCCGACTTGGTGACGACTCGACAACGTGAATCGTGAAGGAATCGTTTTATTTATTCATTATTTCGGCTCGTACACAGATTCGCCGCAAGACAGTTCACCGTACGACTCGGTGATATAGATCTGGAGAGGGACGACGAACCATCCGCACCGGAAACTTACGCGGTCAAACAGATACATGCGCATCCAAAGTTTTCTCGTGTCGGATTCTACAATGACATCGCGGTGCTTGAGCTAACCAGGCCTGTACGAAAATCCTCTTACGTGATACCGATCTGTCTACCGCAAGCTCGTTACAGAAGCGAGGAATTCGCTGGTGCCAGGCCCACAGTCGTCGGATGGGGAACCACATACTATGGTACCGTTCCCAAACACCCCCGTTTTTATTCCGTCTTTATACTATCATTATAGTATTATTATCATCCGATCTTTTAGACTACGGATTTATGTACATCTCTACGTATATACTGATTATGTGGCTTTATTCAAGGCTCAAAGTTCGCTTCGTTGCTTAAACGTTGATTTTGTTCTCTCAGGAGGAAAGGAGAGCACGGTTCAACGTCAAGCCGTGCTTCCTGTCTGGAGGAACGAAGATTGCAACGCGGCATACTTTCAACCGATCACCAGTAATTTTCTATGCGCTGGCTACAGTCAAGGTGGCAAAGATGCCTGTCAGGGTGACTCCGGTGGTCCATTGATGCTCAGAGCTGACGGCAGATGGATTCAGATTGGCATCGTATCTTTCGGTAACAAATGCGGTGAACCCGGATATCCGGGAGTTTATACACGCGTCACCGAGTACATCGACTGGATTAAGAATAATCTGAATTAAATGAATCCATCATCGATCGTCGTTCCCTATTGCTCTTATACACACACACGCGCGCGCGCGCATATAACTGTTTGTTCATGTTCAAGTGCCAAGTCCAAAGTTATTTATAGATTATATATTACATTTTTCTATATGTACTGTTCTTCCCGCCCTGGTTACATTATGTTTTGCAGTTCGTGAGGATCCAACCGCACTTCAAAGATCATATCCTGTATATATTACACGCGTATAAAAAAATGATTAAATTAGTTAATTAACATTACCAAAATAACGCGATTAACGTGTTTGGAAATGTTCCGCACATATCGTCCGTCCATCCACCATCTACTATATCTTTTAGTAGTACGATCAGTTGTAGTACGATCAGTGTATATATTATATACATACGTACATATATATATATTGTATATTAACATTTTTGTATAAACATGCGTATAATAATAGCGTAACGTTATTATTTATTTTAAGCAGCAAATATAGTCGCTAACGCTCTCGATTGTTTTGATTTGATAAATCGTATCGTCCGTCCCATCTGGTCCATATTTACCTATTAATTTTATTCGATACAATAGCACGAATAGTTCGTAATAACGTGTCGTGTTACCGATATCGAAAATTAAATAAATTTTAAGAGACTTCGGGTCTCACTCGCGTTTTCATAGCCCCGCATCAAACTGGAAATTTGATATTTGAATTACTGATGTGACTGCAACCATTGAGCCCGAACCACCAAGATCAAACACAAGCGCAAGCTTGCAAGAAATGAGATTTGGGATGAGAGCCAAGAGCGCTTCGGTACAAAATCTCGAAAATCTCGTCGAACAAATGATCAATGGAGAACCAGAAAATAACAGTTATGGTTTCACCTTTCTTCTATCGCGCGTTAACCGATAAATAATTGCATTGTTCCGATGTTTCGTACAGATCAAATGATACATTTTCATCGAATGATCTATAAGAAATGGCACGGTAGTAAAAGGTCATCGGAATCGAACGAGACGACGGCGGCGGCGGCGGCGGCGGCGGCGGCGGCGGCGGCGGAGGATCGTGACCAGGACGATAAAACGGAATCTGCAAACGCACAGGTATGAGCAGCAGTGACAAGGATAGGGAGAACAATCTGTGATTCGATTATCTATATAATTACAAGGACATATCGGCAACGGTAGAACACCGCAGATTGCGGCGACACAAATACAAACGTTTACCCGAAATTCAACCAGAGAATAACAACGAAACGAAACCAGGTTCGGAGCTAACAGGATCGCAGGAGTTGGTTTCAACTTTAATAACAAGTGACAACAATCATCACAAACACCACCGCCGCTACGGAGAATTCACAGATGGTACCAACGACGATAATAATTCATACAATTCGAAGAAAGCAGAAAACGCTGGCAATGACGATACCAAAGTTATAGAAATCTGGAGTAATCGAATTAAACAAACGGATGAAATTCGCGGGTTATTATTTTTGTCACAAATACGATTTCATTTCCCAGCCGCCGTTAGTTATTAATTTATCTATACAAAAAGCAAACGATTAGTAGTATACGTGCTTGTATGTGTATACGCGCTTACGCGCGGCTTAGGTCGAGCCAGGACCAGCCACGTCAATATACAAGATCAAACAAGTTGTCGTTATCGTTCGAGGATTGGAAAAAGAAGAAGACTGTCGAGTATCGCCGAATGCTTAAGAAAATTGAAACTGAACAACAACAAAAGTTAATGGAAAATTTGGCGAAAGCCGAGTGGAAGAGAATCATTCAACAGGTGTGGTGATGTAGCATAGCTTTGCTTTTCTTTTCATTCACATATTTTCTCTCTACTCCTGGGGCTCCTAGCACCAGCCCCCCGTCCCCCTCTTACTCCATATATGTCGGTTTTTCTGTCCTTTTCGTTTTCATCGTTCTCTTGTACGAAGAAGCAAACGCAATGTAAAAGGCAGCAAGTGAAACGTGAACGAAACGAAAAGAGGCTGCTCCCTAGGAAACATTTCAAGATGGTAATCGAACATCAACAACAACAACAACAACAACAACAACAACAACAACAAGAAGCGATAACAGCAAAGTCTGATTCTACGGCTGGAAAAATAAAGAACGAGGACGAGAAGCGGGACGAAGTTAAGCTGAATAAGGAAAAGAAAATCGTTCGGTAAAAATTGTTAAGCGATCGTTAACCGCGCGAAAAATACTGAATCGTCCCGAGGTGAAGGAAGATATTTCTTTTCCAGAAGATCGATGCAGAGCAATCGTCAGAAGAATAGAGCAATCGCGTTCGACCATTATATGAAAAATGTTACGTTTTGCTCCGTGTTAAATCAATTGAACGAAATACTTCATAAGAAATATTCGCGGGAACGTCGACACCTTGTACAATCCTACTATTGTCAACCGTTTTATTACGGTGGCGCGAATCTTCCGACGAGATAAAGAGTCATCGAGTAACGTCGATGAGTCGACTGATGATAATCGTGGAGTAAAAGGCAAGAAAAAAATCGAAACGTATCTCGTTGCATATTTTTTTCTGTAACCAGCTCATTCGTCGTCACTCATGGATTATAATTCGTTTGGAACTCCGATCGTTTAGGGATAATTAAGAAAAAACGAAAAATTACCTTTTTGGTTTTATATTCAGACATCACATTTCGTTGTCACGTCTTATCGCTTGGAACGATTGATTATTACGAAAATACGAAAGATAACTCTGCTTTACTAGCGATTTCGCGTAGCTATATTCTGATGCTGCACAGCAAGACACCCGAGACACTCCTCGCACTCACTTTCTATTTATTAGGTTTGAAACGGTCTGATAATGAGAGTAATACGACACGACGCTACTACGTGTCGTGCTTCCTTGTCTAATAGCTGCTTCATTCATCCCATCACAATTCAATCTCACCAACGCCAATAGCGCCACTAGCAGCAGTAGCAGCCACTAGTACCTGAGTACCTCGTGTTTCGTGTTTGCCAGCTGTTGCTGTTGGGCCGGTCACTGAATGCGTTGGCTGGATGCACGACGGTCTCGATCGTCTAGGAGTTTCAAGATTTTTTTAAGAGATTGTTTAAGATATTTCAACTACTCGTCACTCTCTAGTCTCTATCGTATCCGATTTGAACGAGAACTAAGTAAAATTTGCGTCGCGAGACGTGACTGAAAAGAGATGCTTGCGTACCGTGCGTTTAACCTATAACGATGGACATTTGCAAATTTTGTTCGTAAAGTGTCCGCCGGAACGAGATCGAGGATCATGGAAAAAGACGGTAAGTAAGTAATCAAATATTCGATCCGACGAGTTTAATGGAATCTGTCACACTGTCAGTCGTTGTTTTTTCTCTTACAGAAATTTGTCGTTATTTCAATGGCATTATTAAAGACGAAAAGGATGTCTCCGCTGGAATGGCTGCCATCCGTACATTGCTGAAAGTTTTGGAATATTCAAAGTGTAAATATCTAAGTAGATATACGTTTCTATGCATCTGAGCGAGTAGCGAAGAGTACTGTCCTCGTCGTCGTCGTTTCATTTCTGTGCTGATTACAGCTGAAACTGTTCAAGAACTCAGATATTGTCTACAGAATGCGATAGATGCGATGAGATCTACGGAGAACCCAGTAACAGCCATAGCATCTGGTAGTGAATTGTTCCTCCGTTTTATAACTTTGGCCACGCTCGACACTCCTGTAAGATTTCTTCTTCCTTAGTTCCTCTCACCGTGTATGCATGTGTATATCCAATGTTGTGTCTCATTCATATTTACGTGTATCGTCGTTAGTCGATAGCTGAATGCAAAGGAATCATGCTACGCAGAGGCAACATGTTTTATGAAAAACTGGTGGCTGCCAGAGGAAAGGTGGCTAAAGTAGCGGCACATTTCATCAAGGATGGTTCTGTAGGTTTTGTTACGCTTTCTTTTTTATATATACCTTTCGTGTGTATATATCGATGTGTCGATTGAGTTTCGTTGGATTTCGACAATTTCTTTCAGAAAATACTTACACATTCAAAATCGAGAGTCGTGTTGCAAGCGATGAAAGGGGCAGTCGACAGTAACAAGATATTCCAAGTGTATGTGACGTGTTCTGCTCCAGACGATAGCGGGTAAGTACGGCTGATCTCGCAGATACGTAAATTCGAATATTTCAATTCGAATATTTCATGTGTGTGATGATATTACATGATACACGGTTTTACCACGCACAGAGAGGAAATGTGTCGAGATCTAACGAAATTAGGAGTGTCTTGCACGCTGATATTAGATTCTGCGATGGGGTATGTGATGGAACAAGTGGACATGGTGATGGTAGGAGCCGAAGGCGTAGCAGAAAGTGGCGGCGTTATAAACAAGGTATTAACAAGTTTTCAATTAATCGATTTTTCATTGCCTAAAAAATCGTAATCTCCATCGACGATCATCTTTTATCCCGTGCCGGCGATAGGTGGGAACATACACGATGGCCATGTGCGCGAAGGAAGTGAAGAAACCTTTCTACGTTTTGACGGAGAGTTTCAAATTTTCAAGGATATATCCCTTGAATCAAGTCGATCTTCCGAATGAATTTAAGGTAAAACACTCGAGCGCGATGCATGTTGTACGTTGTTGAAAGAATTTCGTTCCATTTTCATTTTGCGTTCACAGTACACGGCGAGTACGTTGAAAAAAGATTTGCGGAAAGAACATCCGTTGGTCGATTATACGCCACCGCATTATATCAGTCTCCTGTTTACCGATCTGGGTATACTAACGCCTTCTGCTGTGAGTGACGAACTTATTAAATTATATTTGTAAAACTAGTATGTTGCGCACGACAAACTTCTGACGACGACGACAGCAATAAATCCAACCATTTTACGAAAACCTCACGGTACAACTTTTATTCGATCCTCCTCCTCCTCGTCTTCCTCTTCTTATAATCGTGACGTATGAGTATTGGAGAAAATAACAAAATGTTCGTTTTTTCTTAAACTGCAGTTATATAAGTAAACCACGCGATAGAAAGCGTACTATGGAACAATAGAGAAATTTAATTATTTTCGTACGAGATGATCGTCATTAGGAGGGACCGCGAGAAGCACTCTTACAGTTCATAGACGTTTATGTATACGCGATATACAATACGCTAAATATCAATGAATATTTAACGTCCCGTATATTTAAGGATGTACTGTCTATACAGTCAATCCCAAAAGTTTATGTACCTCAGAAAAACGCATTTCCTATAATTAAAAAGAAATCAGACGTCGGAAGAATAATGCTAATAATAAATAGGTACATGCTAAAAAGTATAGAAGGAAATATCCAATTAAGTATTGACGCTAACGACAATTTTTTTTTTTCAAAATTGCCAAAAATACATCAAATAAAAGTTGTTTTCCTTTTAACTTCGATATTTAACGAGTTACGTATGATTACTTGGCATTTTATTGATGTTGACAAAATCCGACCATCCCATCGTCGAAATGGCGAACTTTTGACAAAAAAATTTCGTTTTTCTTCAATAACTCCTAAACCCTTGGAGATACGGGAAAATTGCATAGGACCTTTCTTGTAGAGGACGACGAGATCTACAATTTCTGTATAAAAAGTTTTCGCTACCATTAATAGTTTACGAGTTATTGACAAAAAACGAAAAAACAGTTTTTTGCAAATATCTCGTAAACTATTAACGTTAGCGAAATATTTTTACATGGAAATTGTAGATCTCGTCGCCCTCTACAAAATAGGTATCTTGCAATTTTCCCGTATCTCCAACAGTTTGCGAGTTATTGGCCAAAAACGAAAATTTGGAAGAAATTGAAGGGGTACCCCTTGGAAAAATCTCGGAAAAATCGAAAATTTTTTTTGTTGTTTATTATTAGCATTGTTCTTCCGACGTCTGATTTCTTTTTAAAAAATGCGTTTCTAAAGTGCATAAACTTTTGGGATTGACTGTATAGCCAATACATCCTTAAAACGTAGTTTATGTATTGCATAGCAATGATTGGCAAGTTTTACGATTTCCGGTAATTCCTTTGTGAATAAATACTGACAGACAGACCGATCGACCGTCCAACAGATTGACCGTCGATGGTTCCGAATTGAAGCATTATTTAACTACAATACTTAATTATTTGGACGGACGAGTGATCTATGAAATTCCAGTTGAACAATGAGAAGAGGGAGAGACGTTGTTGAGTGTGAGGACGCTTCATTTATAAATGGCTCGCAATTCAACTTGCCTCGTGTGTCGTATCACTTGTTACGTATTTACACGTTCCATAGACGATAACGTATAAATACAGTAAAAGTACATTTACATGTCATTGTAATTGATAAACGAGGTAAAAAAAAAAAACGGAAAAGAAAATAAAATGTTACCCGCGAGCGAAGAGATAGCACCGATTCCTACACGCGGTAGATACATATTATAAATACGCTTGAGACAGCGTCTCGACGACCGTATAGATCTGGTCGAAATGCGGACGTTTCTCCGGCTCGTATTCCCAACACCGTAACATCAAACGGTATATCTCGTCGGGTGTGTTTTCCGGTGCCGGCATTCGATACCCTGTCATGAGGTGAACAAACGAATTATGTTATTTGCGTGCGCGTGTCATTTCGCGACTACAACGTATATGTATATATTACGTATCTCGTTTAGTTATACGCGCGAGTCATCGTCCTACCTGCGTCGATCTTCTCGCGAGCCTGAGAGTTCGACATTCCGCTATACGGATTACCGCCTTTAGAAAATATCTCCCACATTAAAACTCCGTAACTCCATACGTCGCAAAGCGACGTATATTTGCCTAAAATAAATGATACTCGTGAAGGAGACTATTGAATTGTAGGCCGATGAAACCGATGGAGCTTTTTATGCGTTGCTCACCAAAATTCAACGCCTCCGGTGCAGTCCATTTGATCGGAATCTGTTTCATACCATCCGAAACTATATACTCTTCCTCCTCACGTGACATTCCAAAATCTGATATCTTTACTATTGATTCGTATCCTGAGAGCCACACCAAATATAAGATTCGTGGAACGAAAACGATTTTTGACGATGGATGATGGGTGTGAAAAGAAGGAAAGAAAGAAAGACAGAAAGGAAGAAAGAAAGAAAATATATGTACACACGCATATCCAATTACCTACGAGACAATTCCGCGCGGCCAAGTCTCTGTGAATGCAATATTTGGACTCCAAGTAGCGCATACCTGCAGCCGCATCTTTGCACATTCGAAGCTGTTCCTGTTGCGTGATACCGCTGGCATTCTTTCTCAAGTATGGTAACAAGGAACCACCTGTTGCGTCGACGAATAAACTACGTTACTACACATCACATCATCGGATGACCGACGACGACGACGACCTTTCTCTCGACAATTTAGCAAGAGAACGTTAGCAGCTACCACGTACCGGGTACCAGTTCCATCACGATCATAATGGGCTGCTTCTGAACACAAATCCCGATGAGTTTAACTATGTTCGGATGATCGTACTGTTTTAATATTCGTCCTTCTTGTAAAAATTTACGCTTTTGTTCGTCCGGTAACGTTACTTTGCAAGTTTTCACGGCTACTTCGGTCTTACAAGTCTTCAACTGCGCTTTGTACACATCTCCGAAGTTGCCCTGGAAACGTGGCCCCGATCCGTTTTACGACTACTTACTACTCTCTCTCTCTACGTGTACCTACTCTCTCTCTATACCTATGTACGATACGTATTCTATCCTTCGCTTCTTTACGTTCCCGTACACCCACATACCCGTCCAATCTTATCCAGAAGGATCACATCGTCGTTGTTGAGTTCCCAACGTTCGCGTGGAATCGGTGTCTTGAGGATGGCTCCGGATCGACTGGTCACTGGTAAACCTGATAACCATTGATGCCTGATCAATTCTTGAATCGACGGAAACGTGGGACCTTCGAATCTGTAATGTCCCTAAAATTAATACGAATATAGTTGCACTGCTTCTACTGTTCACTGTGCAGGTTTTCGCCGCTGACGCCGCCGCCGCCGCTGCGTAAATATGTCTGTCGGCCACCCTTACCTCGGGGGTGGTCTGCACGATAAAATGTTTATGTCCATCCCAGCAAACTGATAAAACTATTTGGCACTCGTCGTTTCTAGTCGTTTCTCGTACTAAAAAATCCCCTTCGGTCACGAGTAATCTCACGACTTCTTCTCTCGGCAATACGCCATGAAACCATTCCTCTTCCATAAGATCGCCGTTTCCCTTTTGATTAGCCGTCAAGTTTGAAATTCCACGAAACGGTACCTGCGCGTGTATGCGTACGTGCACGTGTGTATAACAACGAAATTAATTCGAGTACCATCCGGTAGTAATACCCGGTGTATCTCGTAAGATAAAAGGTGTGCCTCTGTCTCTCTGGTTAAATAAAAATAATCTAATCTCTCTCTCTCTCTCTCTCTCTCTCTCTCTCCCTCTCTCTCTCTGTTTCTTTCTACATTGACGCGTCCAGTCTTCCATGTCACGATTCGACTACTTGTCAAACGCGTCGTTAAAAATGTTAGTTGTTATTTAAAGAACAATCGAACACTGCAATCGTTTTGTTTATTTGATGCATGCAATGAAAACATGCTTGGCGTTACGAGACGATCCTGTCCGATCGTCGTTGATCAAACGTTCCGTACATACGCATATGTGTAAACGTTTATCAAGATCAATGATTTATACGAAGCAATTATAAAAAGCCACAAGTTCGTATTTGTGCAAGAAACCAAGTATGTATACGTATATACGTAAAAGAGACGTACAACTGGTAGAATGTTATCCGCGTTCGAAGCAGGACCTTCGCTATTCGATCTAACCGTTCCAACTTTTGTACCATTTTGTATCGTCATCATAACGGGTAACGATTTGAAGGGTGATTTAAATATTGTCATGAATCGTTGATTCCTTCGTACGGTAAAGAAACCGATATCTGCCGCATTTTTCTGCAAGGCCAGCATCGTCAGCTAACTAACGTTTGATCCTCCAACAAAGACACACACACACACACACACACTTGATTATAATCGAAGAAACTATTTGAAACATGATAACTACGTAATGATTTTCCTTCGAAAAGAGAAGATCTAGAACTATCTTGGACCAGCATCCATCGTACATTATCTTTATACGTTGTCACTCGAGATTACCTTGCTACTGCTCATAGAGGGTGAATCGGTGAAAGAAGTTTCCATTGACAGATCGTATCCGAGCGGCAATTCCTCGCATCCTAGCTCGTTCAATGCAGCTCGAATCACTTCGACTTGCCGCTGAAGCTTTTTCTCGTGACATCGTAACCGTAACTCTTCCCTCTCGCGAGAATAGTCCAAGCCTGACGTTCTGTAAATGAGAAACGGGGCAACTCGTACGCGAGACAACGACTACACGGGGAAACTTAAAACACGTGCAAAACACGTTTGGTCGCTTACTTGGAATCGGTATTATTTTCCAAAGGATATTGAGGATTCTGTCGATTCTGTTGCTGCTGCGTGGCTTTCAAAAAGTTTTCCAATTCCGTTAACCGATTCCGCAGCCAATCGATGGTCAAATTATCTACCGTCAATTTATTTGGCAATAATTTCCCCGAAGTATCGTCTACAAGATTCTCGTCGAAAGTAAACCTGATCGGTGACGTTGGCCGCGTTCTGAGTCAAATATCGGCATACGTCAGTAATCGTAAGATACACGCACACACGCGCGCGCACGGTATTTGGAAAGCGATGCGCCCGTTGAATAGTGTCCATGCCCACCTGTGCTTTCCTATAAAGTCCCTGTATTCGTCTACGGGTTTCACACAATCTACAGCCTTCTGCATTCGTTGGTGTATCTCTTGAAATTGATCTGTCGTAAAATCAGAATACTTCACTATATCCTGAAGTATGGTTTTCCTATCATGCAAACAACAGGATTCTTAGATTTACAGTGCATCGGATACCGCTATCGCTGTCGATAATTACATCATATCGTAACTGGTCGTCGTCGTCGTTACCTTTTTCTTTTCCTGTTCTTTTATACGAGTTATATCCTTAAAGCTATGCGTTTGCTTTTGAAAGTTTTGTGCAAAGTAATTGCTGTTAATGAGTAGTCGGAATAGGGCGCGAAGAAAATAAACGTCTAATTATTCGAATAAATTGGACGCGCTTACCACGAAGTTACAAACTCTTGCTGAATCGTCTGTTGTCTGTGAAGCAGACTTGGTAAATAACAAGTTCTTAGATCGTGTTCACACTCCGTCACGGCACCCAACAGCAACACGTATTCGTTGTGAGTAAGATGCAATTTTCTGCAGGCTTTTTGATATTTCTCTCTTACTTCGTCCAACTTTCTGCCGACTCTGCCAGCTGTGACATGAAAAGAAAAGAAAAGAAAAGAGCGATCGATTTTCGTCTACGGGGTTATATAGCTGACGATCAAGAGCCTCGAACGATCGACCGTTACATTTTATGTAATGTTCTTCGAAACGAGATCTCATTAACTTGTACATCTCCAGATTCTTCTGATACTCCATCTTCTTCCTGGCAACTTCTTCTGTTAACTGAAAGAAAAAAAAAAATGTAATGTCTATGGACTGGATTTTGTTCCGATGACTGACTTTATGTCTATGTATCGAGTTTTGTACACTATGCATTCTGTGATCTATGCATCCGTCTAGCTATAAAAGTAGTAGGTACCTGTTGAAACTGATTATTCAACCATGTCTGTTCTTCCTGATACAGTTTTCTGGCTCTCCTTCTTTCGGAACATAGCGTCGTGACATGTTCGATCACTATGCTTTCTATCGAATCTGCCTGCTGCTTGATCAATTTGGCGGTTTGATCGATAGAGTCCATAATGTCCTTCCAACTCTGCAACAACGTGATGTGAAAGACGTGCATCAGATCAGATCGCGTTCGTCGGTCGTTCGGAAGAGGAGACACGAACATACTAGGTAGCACGCGGACGTGAACGTGAAACATAACGATCTTGATGAACGAGGTTTACCTGGGCTATCAGGCTACCGACGAGATCCTCGTTACGCTCGATCTTTTTCCCTTGCGTCGTCAGAGAGGCGATCGTCGAAGCATACTCGCGATCCGACTTGACTTTAATCGTCAGGCACCGTCTCATCGTTTCGAGTAGCTTGATCTCGGCATCCTGACGAGCTAGTAACGCCTCGTGCGAAGACTGCCCTTGCAAGCTCGAGGAAAATCCCATCCCGACACGATCGTGCGCGACAACCAAATACGCCGCTCGGACTCTTTTCAATTAAGTTCTTTGAACGTGTCACGAGCGAAGATTCATTCTTACGTTGCACGAGTATAATAATGTCAATTAATGGTAGCAAATGGTCTTTCGACGTTTAGGTTCGAACGGTTTATCACGGTTAACGGATCACTCGTCGTCGTCGTCGTCGGTCAACATACCGCATCCTAAACATTCCTGTATCTACATGTAGTACACACTATTTAATTCGACGCCCCTACACTCCATATCATTCATCCATACATACATTCGCGATTACTTCAGCTGGCTGAGATCAACGTTTATATTTAAATAGACCTCAAACAGCAAAAATTGACTTTTATTCCCGAAAATACCGTCACGAAATACGAATCCATACGAATTAACATCGACGATGCGCGTTGCGATTATTGCAGGGGCTCTCGAACTTGGAACTACTTGGGTTGGGACCAATGAGAATGTCTACGGTTTTATCTTCACTGCTACCATATTTCCTGTTCCGCCAATCCATCCATAATAAAGTTGTTTTTATGAAAATCGGCATTGACTTGTATGTATGTATGTATTACCTCACGCGCGCGCCTTTTCGTTGACACGACACGGACTACTATCGAAAGTCGAAGGGAATGTGAAAACGCGTTTGTGAAAGGTAAAAATGATGAAACCGTTATTCTTTATTGTTGTAAAATCTGTCATTGCTCGTCCAAGACCAAGTGATCTGATGTCGATCCTGCTTCTGCTCATGTTTATGGGACATTGTTGCGCAGTTAACCGTTACATATACTTATATAAATTACGAAAATGAAATGCTATAAATATTTAACTCGTAATGCACATACAGGCACATACATACGTAACTCGCATCTTTACTACTCGGTTGTTCGTGTCGACGTCGATCTATCCTTCTCTGATCAGTCTTTATTCACCCCTCGTCCCTGTTATTCACGAGCTTACGACAGTTACGATGGCTCACCTTACGTACATACATACGTACGTACCTTATGGACCAATGTGAACGATCCCTTAGGTTCACTGTATCCCCCCCCCTCCGCCCCTCCGTAGATCGTGATATCAACGTCTTGTCTGGCCCTTTACTTTTTTTAAACATAAAATAAGCATGCCAGAGAAAGCTCGCATGTATTTACTTGACGCGCGTGGCACATTCAACGGACACGAAGAAAGTTTTCTCTCCGACGATCTGAGAGTATAAGTGAGAGCGTGGACCTGTGTGTGTGTGTGTGTGTGTGTGTGTACGGTCGTGCAAATGACCGACGGATCAGGTCACTAAATATTAAACGACATCGTGTATCGTATTGTGGCGGCATGTGCATGCGTGTGTCTAGCTCAACAGTAGCATTGGCAATACCATACTACGAAGCTAACGCGATTACTTTCACAAGTATCGGCCATTTTATCAGTAATTTCATTTAAAAACAGGCACGAACAATAAATTTATGTAACGCGTAACTAAACGCGTGAACGTTTACGTTCGCGTCGGGTAGTACGCCAGAAAATATTGTATTGCTACATGTGTGTACGCATGTACACACGTACAACGTACAGTGCATGCTACGATTTCCATCGATGACAGGTCAGTGCGATCATTACATATTTTGATTCTGTCACTCGTCATCGATGTTTCAAATGTGTAACGTGTGCGCAGTAACCAAATAGCGTGAAACCTATTAAATTCACGATCCACGGTGCCACGTATTTTTTCTGTATACCGCAACGTTCCGACTTTGGGAGACATCGCTAGTTGTACTACGATTTGGGACATTCGTTCGCGATCGTCGCGCTGAATCGTAGAGATCGCAATAATTTTACGCAGATGTGGTTTAGCTTGGTTTAGTGTTCGGTGTATCGTTCCACGTTTCGTAACAGTTTGTTCGCACCTTAGGATCATCGTCGTACATCGGGTGGGTACGACTTAACGTTAAACTGCTGTTCAATCGACGATTCGCGTACAGAATGCGCGTTCAGAGTTTATCTCGTAAAACTTGTGTTACTGCTCGCGGTATCATATTTCCTGTGATCGCGATCTGTTCTCGGTGTTTAGCCTTTCTTAAAATTCGTCAGTAACCGTCGATCGACCACGTAGAGTTTCCATTTCAACTTACACGCATACATACGTATGCGTATGTAGAATGTATATACAAATTCTTGATGATACTTTCGATACCGAGAAACTATCGTTTTTTGCGAGACTAATTGTAAATCCGAGACTGAAGACAGACGGTGAACGCGAGATTCTTTCCAACTCCGTTCCTATCGTTTGATTTTTATTTTCCACCCGTTTGCGGTTGATCGTAACATTATACGTATACATACACACACACATGCGGTGTATGCGGAACAATCGGAATAATTAGAAAATTCATGTTATTCGCATTTGCATTGCAGATAAAGAAAACATCGCATTACAGATATCGATAGATGAACAGTAAGATTGAAATACCGATTATCATCAAGAAACCGACCGTCGTTGCAGTTTGCTGATAATAATAATAGAAACATAAAAAGTTAAAAGGTAAAAATAATAATGGAAGATTCGAAAGACTACCACGAGATGTGTAAAGAAGTAGACGACATCGAGTTGTCGGCATCTAACAATAAAGGAGCAACGGTGGCTATACAACAGCTCGTCGGAACTTTGGTCGACGATAACAGACACACGGATGCTACGACGACAACGAGGACGACGACGACGACGACGATCGATGACAACAAGATCGACGATAAGCTCGAAGATGGCGAGTGTAAAATTTCTCTGAGGAAAACGTTTTCTGTTTGCGATTCTGCAATGTCACCAGAGACTAACAACACCACGCAAGACAATACCCCGACCTCGTCGAATGATGCCGAATCGAGTTCTTCTTCTTCTTCTTGTTTTAGTAATCAAAATAAATGTAAAAGAAGCATTTCAAAAGGTGCAGCAGGTTGAATAATTTGGTGACTTTAGTATTGCTACGCGATCGTTCGAATTTTCTAATTTCAGTTTCAATCGTAGCTCAAGCGAATGGCGGTGATAGTTGTGACGACAGTAACCGCAGCTCCGACGAAGAGTCGAGTAAACATCAAAAGTTGAACGAAAATGTATCGAATGAATTAAAATCTGAAGATAAAAGTACGAGCAAAGCGCGTACATCGAAGGAACCCGTGATGGACGGTGGTGGTGGCGGTGACGGTGATGGCGGCGGAGGCGGCGGCGGTGGCGGTTGTTGCAACGAGAGATTCGTGCAAGACGTAGAGATGAGATCGGCAGGTAATAACTCCGTGCGTGTGTGTATGTGTAGTTGGAATTAGAAGCATCGATCGAAATTGATTTTGTCGGTTGTGTAGAACTCGAGAAAGCATCAGCATCAGCATCAGCAGCAGTAGCAGTAGCAACAGCAGCAGCAGGAAACCTCAAGGAAGCGAGTGGACGCGAGGAACGGACAGAGACGGATACCGACGGTTCGTATGCCGGAGACGCAGGTACACGTACACAAGCTCGTCGCGTCACGTTTCGACCTGGTAACGCTAGTCAGTGCTCCTAGTTAAAGATTGCCTCGTCGGTGCTTAAGCATTGAACGTTCGATTCTTGTGGCTTACAGATCTCTTCGAAGAATCGGTCGCTTCGAACTATTCTCGTTCCAGTGCGGCGGAGCACATGGCCAGCGAGGAAGAGTCGGAGGTACCGCAGGCAGACTTCTCTGCCTGTTTAAAAAAGAAAGTACCAAAGCCCAGCTGGTATGTAGTGCCGGAACTCGTTCATCGCGAAATGGGCATGAATCCACTCTTTCCACGTAGATGTTACGGTTCCTTACATGTTGTAGAACGCTTCCAGCTTACATACGAGCTTAGAGAACATGAGGTAGGTAGCGAGGGTAGGTATCGCGTCGATGTAAGCAGAAAGCTTGTATAACGATGCAATCTGTGAATATGATTTTTTACAAAACGTTTCTAGGGTTGCGTCAATGCTTTAAACTTTAACAAAGCCGGGAACTTGTTGGCCAGCGGCTCCGACGATTTGAACGTGGTCATATGGGATTGGGCACGAGGAAGGAGGCGAGCGAATTTCGTTAGTCAGCACAAGAGCAATATCTTTCAAGTAGGTGGTCAATTCGCCGCATTGTCCGATCGCAAATGTTTTTACCTATCCACCATTATCGTCTTTGTTGCTGTTGTTGTTGTTGTATGAAACGTTTGACGTTGTTCTTGTATAATTTTTCAAAATGGCAGGTCAAATGGATGTATTACGCGGAACATTTAGTGGCTACGTGCGCTCGCGATGGACAAGTACGTTTGTTGGATACAACGGGTGGCCGTGGTACCTCGCGAAAATTAGCTACGCACAACGCGCCAACTCATAAACTCGCACTTCATCCGGACACACCAGACGTTATTATTTCTGTTGGCGAAGACGCAAAAGTACTGTCCATAGATATCAGAGAATCGAAACCAACCAAGTACGCCTTTCAACTTTGAGCTTTCGACACGTAGCTTGCTCGCTGCTTTCCGCTTACGAACCAGGGTGTTCAGGGTGTCCGAGCAATTTTTTGCGATCCGAATCAAGTCTGATCGATCCCCGGTCGAACAAAATATGCTTGCTTGATACCTTGTATACGTTTGTTCGCGGCGCGTTCCATGTGTATATGTTTAATGATCAAACAAAACTCGATTGCGCAGGTTGTTGGTGGTAAAAAACGGTTCCGCTCGTTTACGACTGTACAGTGTTCATTCGAATCCCCTCAGTAGCAACGAATTTTGCGTGAGCGGACAATTTCAATTCGTCAAAGTATACGATCGACGAAATGTATCGGTGCCGATCTATGAATTGTGTCCCAAGCATTTGGTATGTACGGCAATTTCATTCTTATTTCTCGCGTATACGTATACATATTCGTATACCGACAACTGAACACTAACGGAAAATTTCGTTTTCCTTTGTATCGCCGCGTACACGCTCGCCCCGACTATCGACGCATATCACCGGTTGCGCAGACCGAGAACAAGAATGTACACGTAACTTGCGCCTTGTACAATTACAACGGAACCGAAATTCTTGCGTCTTACAATGACGAAGATATATATTTATTCGATACGGTGTCGCCTCAACCCGGAGATTTCGCTCACAAGTACGAAGGTCACAGGAACAGTGCCACTGGTAAGTGTAAGCACGATCGCAAGAAGTCCGGAAAGAAAATTGAAACGCGTTACGACCCTCGACGCTACCATATACCACTACTACATACGTACCGTTTTTTTTACCGTTTCTGTTGCTGCTGCTGCTGCTGCTGCTTCTGCTGTTTTCACTGAAGGGTGTCAACTTCTTCGGACCGAAGAGCGAGTACGTCATATCCGGATCGGATTGCCGAAACATATTCATCTGGGACAAGAACAGCGAGGCGATCGTAAATTGGATGTTCGGCGACGAGAACGGAGTGGTATGTAATTCAACGAAAACGTAGTAAACGAGTTTAACAACGCTCCGTCGCATAGGTAAATTGTTTAGAGCCTCATCCGCATACTCCTATTTTGGCCACGAGCGGACTCGATTGTGGCGTAAAGATATGGGTGCCTACCAAGAAGAAACCTCTGCCGTTTGACGAACTAAAAGACGTACGTATAACGAACAAAGTACGATGACTAACGTTCCGCGAATCGCATCAATTGTTTTTTACGCACGTACTACGCGCTACGTATCTTTCGCAGTGCGTCGCATCGAATGCGACTAACAGGTCGCAAGAGACTCACAGCGAAACGGATGCGATCGATAGTCAACTGCTCTGGATATTGGTGAGACACATTCGTCACACGGAAAGAGTCAGGGTACGTATCGATCTCGAACACCGTGTATCATTGCCGAGATTCATTGAACGTTGCATCATGGTGCAGAGTATGAGAACTTCTACTCCACGAAATCGAGCGGTCGACGACGATGACGACGACGACGACGACGATGGCGACGACGAGGATGACGACGACGACGATGAGGACGACGATAATGTCGACGATTCCTTGGACGACGATTCCTCCGATCACAGCGACAGCCAATCGGACGGCGACAGCGTTAGAAGATTTCAGTGCTCCCCGTCTTAGAGGTATCGTGGGCTATCGCTAAACGTTTCGTACGTCGACATTCGTACGATGTATTTAAAGCAACGTTATGAAAAATATCGACAAGAAGAAGGATAAGAAGAATCGAATCTATAAAGGTCTCAACTCCCCTCTCAATTTATCTCGTTTCACAACCCCCACCACCACCACCGCCGCCGCCACAGTTTAGTAATCCGATGATACAAGTGACGATACTAGTTATCGTGTAATTGCAAGATTCGGGGCGCGTCAAAAATGTATAAAGACAACTCGGTAAACGTATGTAAATGATAGTAGGCGATAATAAGAAACAATATAGTTTTATTTCTAGAAAGTATTCGTAGTTAAAATTTTATATTATTCTCCGGTAATTGCCGAATTCGAGAGGTCATCGTTCCTAAGAAGATGAGTCAAATCAGCACCGCATACACGAACGAACGTGAACAACCGACCGACGGGATACGATCTTGGTGTTAGTCTGTAAGATCTTGATGTCCGAACGTTTCATAAAATTCGCGATAAGGATGTTTCTACTCTACGTAGCAGTTAACGTTCCGGAATACCGTTCGCGCAACATTCGAATCAAAGTACAATACGTTACGTTTCAATTATTACTGAAACAGAATACGAACGGAAAAAAGAAAACAAAGAAAAGAAAAAAGACAACACAGAAACTAAATATGAAAAGAGACCCGTAGCACGTGAACGAACAAAGGATTGTTTTTATTCGTAAATTTGTTATCGGCGCGAGGGAAGTTTTGTTGTATGTTACGTAAAATAAAAACGTTATCGAAGCAACAATGTGCAAATTTATTGTTTCAGCAGACAGCATTTCTGAGCAAAAAAAAGCCTCCCAATACTTTTGGAACCCGTTCGTTTCCAGAGAACCAGGTCAAAAGCTTGTTCATCACACTCTCAGCAGAGTACGCTCCACGTATTTGTTTCATGACATTCTGTCCACCGTGTCATTGTTACCGTTCAGAATATGCCGATCGAACGAGCGAGGCCAGCATACATGTACAATGTAGCAACGCCCATGACGAAGGTAGTAACCGCTTTGACAATGAGCGTCGACCATGGTCCAGTCAGGAAGAACACTATAAGGAAATCTAAAATGAGCGGCCTGTAGATGGTGAGAATGAGCATGCCGACCACCACGGGAACAAAACTTCGTTTCAAATCGTGTCTGGACCACAACCATACGAGCGTCGCCGTGGTCACATGTTGCACCTGTGAGAATCAAACGATATACGCACCGCTACGAGTCACCAACTATCTTTTCGTGCGATACACCGTGTTTCACTCACCAAGTTTATGTTGGACTCGAGACTCTTTTGAATGTATTTCCAATCGAATTCTGCACCCCTTGCCCCTACCCATAGGAGAAGGAACCTGGTGAGCAATACCTCCGCGCCTGCCCAACCGACCCCGGCGGTCAAAACTTTTGCGTGTCCTTTGCCGGGTATACCGTTCAATACCAACAATATCCCTACCAAGTCGGCCAGATCTATGGAGGACTTTAAAAATTCCTACAAAGTATATTTGGGAATTATTCGAACTCGCAACGATGGTACGTACTTGTTTATCTTTTTGTGTACTATGTACGTACGCCGACAAGATCGAAGCCTTCGTCTCCTATGTTATCCGCCATGGGAAAAAATGTGGCTAAAGCCAACATCTTTACCAATTGTGTAAATATGTAAATGCATCCCGCTTGAATACATTTCCAAAATGCACCGTATTCCGATCTAAAAAATTGTCGATATCAATCACGGGAGAGATAATGATCAGAAATGGGGGGAGGGGGGGTAGTTAAGAGCAGCAGTTCCATGTACTTACAAACCAGAATATTTGTAGGTGAGATAATATGGAACGTACACCAGAGCTAAACAATTTCCGAAATGATACAACGTCATTTTTTTCCGACAATATCACATTAATTCGATTTGCATGTCATTCATCGTCGCGCAACGTTCGACAATCGAAAATCTTCTACATATACGCACGTGCACTGGCGTGAAGTAGCGATATCCTATAATAACCACACACTGACACTGACGACTGATCTCAAATGATTTTGGGGGTTGCTCGTGGCGCCATCTAGCGTTCATGGCTGCAAATATACAGATACCTCAAATGACTTTGGGCACCGACTTTTGGGCAATCCTCCTCGGTGCCAGTACATACCTCAAATGATTTTGCAGCCAGGAACGCTAGATGGCGCCACGAACAACCCCAAATTCATTTGACGTATTTGTACATAACCCAGGTCCATGACATAACCCCAGTGTCCACCACGTGCCCCGTCCTTTTCTTTTACAGTAGTAGGCAGGCGGTTCGGATTCGATTTTTATGTGAACGTTGATAACATGTATATAGGTACGCGTTACGGCAACGTATCGTGGATAATAAGAAAGTTAAATTGTTTATGGAAAGTACATCAGTAGATTAGGGGCAGGATCATTTATGGAGCTTAAGCATTTTGTTGCAAGTTGGAAGAAAAAGTAAGAAATTTGGTAGAAATGGCGAAAATATTAAACTTTTTTCGGACCGTACGAAATCATTGGAAGAAATCTATGGTAGGCGTCGCGGCCTTATCGTACGGAGGTTTACACACCAAGGAAATATACGAGTAAGACATCTTTTGTAACATCCGTGAACAATTGTCAATGTTATGAAACTCGTTCGAGATGATACCGTGTTGTTACAAAGTTAAACTTTTGCAGTACCGACCGACTGATGAGAGAATATTGCGAGAGCGTATCTCGCGTTGGTGATGCTCCTCTCCGAACGACTGTAAAACCTCGTCACGTAACGATTATTTTGAATCCAGTCGCGAAAAAAGGGTTGGACGTTGTCACGTTTCGTTGATGGATGTTTTGTAAACATGTTTTGAAATGCACACGTTCATTGATTACCTTTTCGATGATCTTTCAGGAAAGCCAAGAAATACTTCGAAAATTATTGCGAACCACTTCTGCACTTGGCTGGAATCGCTTTAACGATAATACAAACTGAATCGCAGAACGATGCTAGAAGAATTATAATGAATTTGAACACACCTACCGACGCGATAATAGTTGCAGGAGGTGACGGTACTTTATCCGATGTTTTAACCGGATTAGTGAGAAAGTACGATTATAACTTGAGCTCGGTTAAACAGTGCCCCATTGGTATTTTACCGTTGGGGCAAACAAACAAAATAGCCAAATCGTTGTATCAAGAGTACGACGACCTATCGGATGTGAAGCAAATGATTGAAGCGACGATGGCAATCATAAATGAACGATCGAAAATGATGGACATGATTCAAGTTAAACCGATCGAGGTATACTTCCCCAGTGTCTCACCACCGGTGACATTTCACAGGACTTTTTGTAACTTGTGCCCGTTTCTCTCTCTACTCGCGTAGGAGGAGAATCTCGAGGAACCGATAAAGCCGATTTACGCGATGGGAGCGGTCGAGTGGGGCGCATGGAAAGATGCGAATTCGACGGCTAACAAGTACTGGTACTGGGGGCCGTTAAAAAAGTACGTGTACACCACCTGTACATTTATTGGTCGAGTCGACCGATAGTCACACTGAGCTCCGGTATTAATTCGAAACGTGTATACTACGCAGATACGCGACTTACATATTCAATGGTTTCAACATTGATTTAAACGAATATTGCGACGCAGTTTTGAGGTATACGCTTCCTTGCGATGGTTGTTCTCGTTGTAATCTGAAAACTTCGCAAAGTGGATATTTCAATACGAATGCGAGGTGGTGGCAAGTGTTTGTGCCGAAGAGAAATGTGGTCGGTACAGGTACGGACGTTGAAAATTATTACGTGTCACTTGGCTGTAGTAAGTGCATAGTATCGGTCATGTGTTTTCAGAAAACGTCGATTACAGCAAAATCATAAACGAGGACTGCGACGTTGTTCATGAATTAGCTGTATCAACCAACGAATTGCACATAGAAACCTGGAACGTGGGCAAATTACAAGATGCATCGTTGTTGCAATCGTGTTTGAGAGTGAAAATGGGTAACCGAACAAACGTTGTCACTATACAATCGTAATCGAACATGTACCTCTGACCATCTCCTCCTAGGTCCAAAGAATATCAGCTATTTCTCGTTTGTGTCCGAAGGCTGGAAAAATGAACGACGTGACAATGACGACGAGTCGTTGTGCAAGCAAGTGACTGAAGCAAAAATCATCGAATTGAATCCGAGAAAGGTATCGAGTTGTGTGTAGACAGATTCATGAAATTTTCCTGATTCATTGAATCAGTCATTACACGTATTTATATGTATTGTGTACGTTCATTTTTTGTAGATTGACAGAGATTACACGTTGTACATTGACAACGAGGAATACGAATTGAAACCTGTTGAAATTAAATTGCTTCCGCGAGCGGTAAAAGTATTTTGCTCCCGAACAAACGACTGATTGTTACGCATCTACACGTGCGTATGATGTAAATAAAATTTTACAATCGAAGCCACCATTGTTTCATTTTGCGACACGTTCGCGTAACTCGACTACAACGTTGGAGTTGAAGCTGTTAATTATTACCGAAAACGTTCCATTTTAATCATGTTATATTATAAAAATAATTTATATCGTTACATATAAAAGATGTCTTGGTTACCTAACCTATTATCACTCGAACATGACACTTGAGTACACGTACGATAATCTACCTTTCTGCATTTCGTATAATACTTAGGAATCTCGCTGTCGTTTATCTCATATCGTGTCGTTAAAAACTGCTGTACGTTTCGTTTCGTTTCTCTCTCTCTCTCTCTCTCTCTCTCTCTCTCTCTCTCTCGTAGAACGTACCGTATCGTAGTACCTTTCTTCCATCTTTAATTCGACATGGAAATCGTTAAAGTGCTAACAACCGTCGTTGCAGTTTTTCCCGGTAAGTTTAAAGAAATTTAATAGGGAGGGTGCTGGTGAGGTAGCCGTTGCTGGACTTCTCGGCATTTTAGATACTTTTTGCGGTTCCGTCGAGCGGGATCTGCCGTTTCTCCTGGCAGGCGTTACGTGCGAGACGGGACTGGCCAATTTTTCAGAAACCGTTTTCGCCGCCGTCCCCCTTTTCTTTTCGTACTTCTCTCTTCGTATTCTTGTCAACCAGTCGACGTTTTCTTTGTACTTTTGTGGCGATAATTGTAGCAAATGCGGCGCCGTACCGTCGATAACAAAATTTGGAAGATTCGACGTAGGTGAAAAATGAATATCGTCATTTTTCCTCTCCACAGCTCCGGTCGAACTTGTACTTGGTTCGTCAGACTCGTAGCCTCTGTATAACGACGAACTGTTGTCGTTGCACGAACTGAACAATCTTCGCGCACCGCGATTTTCCAAATGAATTCGTTTCGTGGCGGACTCGGGAACGTTCTCTTGTATGGGAGATAAAACCGATTTAAATTTCCCGTCGGACCATGAACCCATCATTCGGGAATAACTTCTTTTCATCGAACTATCACCAGCGTCGACGACGTTCGTCCGGTCTTTATCATCTTCGTCGTTTCGATCGATCGAACCAGGCGTGTTGTCGTCGGATCCTGGAGTCGATTCTTGAGCTATACGACGTCGCGTGACAGTCGGTGTCATTTCCAGTTTTAAATTCTCCAATGGATCGTTGAGGGAGACGGGTTTTGCGCGACCACGTATCTCTATTTCTTCGTTGTCCCTCGTATGTTCGTAGCCGACTCTCCAAATTCGATGACACGAATCGTCCGAACAAGTTATCAGCTACAGAAAACAACGATCGCGTTGCAATTTAAGAAAAAAAAAAAAAAAAAAAA